CGAGACCAGAACCTGCAGCCCCTCTACAGATCTCCTCTGGCCACTGCAGCCCCTCCAACGGGCTTTTTCTCTCCTGCATTCCCTGGCCTGGAGGGGTCAGGGCCCCCACATCCTCTCTGCTCCTCAGATTCACACCCTCTCCATGTTACCTCCCGCACCTCCTCCCTGGGGCAGCTGCTCCCTGGGCCTCTGAGGATGTCAGCTCCTGGCTCCCTGCCTCTCTCCCACTGCACTCCTGGCTCAGTCTTAGAGGTTTCTATGCCCCCATGGATTCTACCCCTGCCTTCCTGGCCTCTTGATTCTTGGCTTGCCTCTCCTCCAATTCCAAACTTAGTGAAACGGCCTTAAACATTTTAAATTGTATGTATAAATTTAGCACAATCATGCCTTTTTAAAAGCATTTCAAATGTCAAACCAGGAAGGCACACCACTGTATTAGTTCTATACTGCTGCTGTAAAACTTACCACAAACTTAGTGGCTTAGAACAACACAAATGTATTGCAATTCTGTAGGCTGGAAGTCTGACTACAGGTCTCACTGGACTAGAATCAAGGCTGGCAGGCTGCCTTCCTTCCTGGAGGTTCTAGGGGAGACTCTGTCTCCTGCTTCGTCAGGCTGCTGGCAGAATCCACATCCTGTCAGTGGCAGGGCCAAGGTCCCCACTTTCTTGCTGGCTGTAAACTAAGGCCACTTCCAGCTTGTAGAGGCTGCCTACATTCCTTGGCTCTTGGCCTCCTCCTCCATCTTCAAAGCTAGCAGTTTCAGTCTGTATCACGAAACATTTCTCTGGTTCTCTGCAGACAGGAAAGGTTGTCCCTAAGGACTCATGAGATTAGGTTGGGCCCAACCAGATAATACAGGATAATCTCCCTCCTCAAGGTTTTTAATATTAAACACATCTGCAGGACACATTTTGCCATGTAAACTAACATTCACTGGTTCCAGGGATTAAGGAAGGAAACTCTTTTGTTGGGGAAGGGTGGCATTCTGCTGACCACAGCACCCCAACCAAAAGCCAAAAACCAAAGCAAGACTTACTAACGCATATCAAATAAATTAAATGTACAAAATAGTGAATCTCAGTTATCTTAAATATTCCAATACTATTTACAAAATTATTCTAATTCTCACACCTTCCAACTCAAAATTAGTAATCTAAAATAATCTCCATATCCTAGATGGAAACCCTCATGTGAAACTGTCTGATTACGCACGGTCCTAAATGGTTTCAGTGGCAAACACATAACATTGTACTACTGATTAAACTGAACTTAAAAGCATCAATACTACCATTGCTGCACTTAATCATGTCTCTGTTGAATTCTTCCTTTTATCTTTTCAGAATTTTATGTGTATTGTTTTTAAAGTAGAATGGGTTTTGTTTTTTTTTTTTTTTTTTTTGAGGCCAATGATAAATAATAAAGGCAGGCTCCTACTCTCATCCTCTCCAAATTCAACTCTCTTAACTGTTTCTTCAGGCATTTGAAATCCATGTTTTTCAAAACATGAGCTTTTAGTTCTGTTTATTAGTTGTTTCACATTAGGTGTCCCCAGCCAGCATCCTCTGGGAGGAGGGTGGTCACCCGCCTCAGTCTCCTGATGCGGCATCGTTCTAGTGTGACGGGCATCACAGCTGCAGGGTGTTATTACAGCTTCATTACCACACGTCACAGGAGAACACGGTGTTCTAGGATGGCATTTCTTGCACAACTTTTTGTTTTCCCTGGAGTTAATAATTGCCTATTTTTTTGTTTGCCTGGTTTTCTGTATGTGTTTGTCATCGATTCATCTTTAGACTTTCCTGCAAAAGCATGAGCATCCTCTCACAGCTTAGGACTCATCACATAACTGACTGCTCAGTTTCTTCTTTTCCTGGAGCCCCCACTATGCAAGCCCCCTGCCCAGGCTACTTGTTCTTGGACTTATGGTCCAGTTGTCAGCATGGGTTAACTCTTCACCAGTGTCCTGGAATGCTTTCCTTTTCCTTCATTTGCTCTGTTTGAGAAGGACCATCCTCCAAGTTTCCTGAGAAGGTGCATAGGAAGTTGCGGAGTTTTTACCTGTTTGTCTTTATGCTAACCTCACATATGCTTGACGGTGTGACTAGTTACAGAAAGCTTGGCTTGGTTGAAAATCATTTATTCCCAGGATTTTGAGGGTGTCGTGTCATTTTCTTCTAGTTCTGAGAACTCTTGTGCCTTTCTGAATTCTGACTCTTTACCTATGATCTCTTCTGTTTTATTCTTTGCCCCATTACTTTGGCAATTTTCAATGATGTGTCTTGATATACAACTTGCCTTTCACCCATTGTTCAGGAAACATGACTGTTTGGTTCTAGGAAATTTTCGTGATTTATCTCTTTGTTGATTTCTCTCATTTCCTTATTTTCTGGACAATTTATTTAGATGTTGGGTTTCTGTTTTTTGGGTTTTTATTTTTTGTTTTTGTTTTTTGAGACAGGATTTGGCTCCGTCACCCAGGCTGGAGGGCAGTGGTATGATCACAGGGCACTGCAACCTCCACCTTCTGGGCTCCAGCAATGCTCCCACCTTAGCCTCCCTACTAGCTAGGACTACAGGCCTGTGCCACCATGCCCAGCTAGTTTTTTAAAATTATTTTTTGTAGAGATGTGGCCTCGCTATATTGCCCAAGCTGGTCTTGAACCCCTGGGTCCAAGTGATCCTTCTGCCTCAGCCTCCTGAAGTGCTGGAAAGGCAGGTATGAGCCACTGTGCCTGACCTGGACTTCTCTTTTGAGATGCAGTCATGGTGGTGGAAACAACACAGGCTCTGGAGCCATTCTACTGCTCCCTGCCTTGTGATGTTGCCCATCAGTAAAAATGGGGATAACAGCTGTACCCATTGCATAGCACTGGGTTGTGAGGATCCCATGAGTGAATGTGTGTAAGAACAGTGCTGGGCACCATGCACCCTGCGTGCACGTTATTGTCAAGGGAAGCTGTTCCCAGAGGGTGGTGCCTGTGGCTTCCCCTGGTGGTGGTGGTGGACCAGCCCCCCACCACCCCTCCACCCCCTCCATTGTGGAGACCTTGTGTGCCAGGCTGGCCCTAAGGGCACCCACCTGTGTTACTGCTATTCTGTTTTCCAGCGATCTGGTTCTGTCATTATACATTCTGGAAGACTTCATCTTAAAAAGCCTATTGAATTGCTCTTTCCCTTCATGTTTTATTTCTAAGAGCTCGTTCTCATCCTGAGTGTTCTTTCTCTATAGCCCCCAGTTCCTTTTTATTGCCTGTAATACCTCTAGTATCTCTGAGAATGGCATTTTAGTTTTCATTTTTCTTTGGCTTCCTTTATTGTCTCTGTTTCTTCTGAGTCCCTTTGCTTCTTTCTCAGGTGTCTGGTGATCCTGGGCTGTCCAGTTGCTTTTAAGAATGAGATGCTTGGCCGGGCGCGGTGGCTCAAGCCTGTAATCCCAGCACTTTGGGAGGCCGAGGCGGGTGGATCACGAGGTCAGGAGATCGAGACCATCCTGGCTAACATGGTGAAACCCCATCTCTACTAAAAATACAAAAAACTAGCCGGGCGTGGTGGCGGGCGCCTGTAGTCCCAGCTATTCGGAGGCTGAGGCGGGAGAATGGCGTGAACCCGGGAGGTGGAGCTTGCAGTGAGCCGAGATCGCGCCACTGCACTCCAGCCTGGGCGACAGGGGGAGACTCCGTCTCAAAAAAAAAAAAAAAAAAAGAATGAGATGCTTTTAGTGGCTGGGGCTTATGGCCTGGTGAGCTTCGAGGCCAGGGATCTGGCTGGGCCATTCTACTGGGCAACCCTCTGCCCCTAGCTGCTCTGCCAGTCTTTTGAGCTGGGAGCTGCAGCAGAAAGGAGCCCTCCTCTCTGAGGAGGCTGATGGCATGTCGGTGGTCAGACCCAGCCCAGGGGGTGGAGGTAAGGCAAGGACCCAGAGTCTCACTTATTCCCAGGCTTTCAGACAGAGCCTTGCTTGAGCAGGGCCTCACAGCTCCTCTCCCAGAGTTCACGTCTCAGCCACTGCACTGCCTGCCAGCCCCGGTGGGTATGGACAGAGGTCTGGGGTTTCCTTTCTGTAGCTGTGCTTTCACCTACGACACTCAAGACACCGGCCTCTATGGCCGCGTGGGCTGGAGTAGCTCTCACTGTCCATCTTCCTCCAGCTCTACAATATCCCAGCTCTTTGCCCTTGCAGGGTTTGTCTTTATAAAACCCCTTTCCTATAATTTCAGAGGGTTTCAGGAGGAAGGCGGGGAATATGCTGCCCTATTTAAGTAGAGGTGTCTGTATTAAATTCTAAACGTTCCCAGGGTTGAAAGGAGGCCTGCCCGGGATGCCTTGTGGCCTCAGGGACTGAAGGTGCCTGAGCTTACAGATGTGGCTTCTTCAGATGACCGAGTTGGGGTCTCGGGACTGGGTGCAGCAGATGGCAAATGTCCAGGACGGGCAGCTTTCCCAGCAGTACTGATAAACACTTTGGGTCATGAAAGCCAGTTCAGGTACTAAGGGGGCCTGTAGCCTGCGGGCCTAGTGACTGATGTCAGCCAACCTACGGTCATCTGTTCCCTGGAAGGAGAAAAGGCTGCCAACTGAACGAGGTTTCCCGGCCCCAAGGATGTCGCGACGCGGGGACGAAGCATCTCACGACGTGAGCCTGAAACACACGGGCCTTTCATCACCCGAGACTCCTCCAGTCCAGGAGGGTCCCGCTCTTTCCCCTGCCTCCCGGAGGAGAGCCTCTGGACGACGCCCGCGACGGCGTTTTCTCCAAAAAAGGCGGAGAAGAGAAGCTCAGTAGTGGCCGCAAGGGCGAGGGGCGGCGAGGGCCACCACGCGCTCCCGCGTCGGCCACGCGGCGAGATACGCCCGGCTCGAGTACCGCGGCGCGCGCCCCCGGACGCCCATGTTGCACGGACCCCTCCCCTCGCCCGGCCAAGGGCACACCCCTTCCGTCGCCCCTCCCGCGGGCGTTAACCGTCCCTCCCCGCCCCGGAAGCGCGTTCTTACCTCCTTCCTCGCGAGAGTTCCGTGCGCCGGCCCCAGATCGCGCGAGACCGCGGAAGGAGCAGGAGTGGGTGGTGCGCGCGGCGGCCGCGACGGACGCAAGATGGCGACGGCGACCATAGCTCTCGTAAGTGAGCCCCCCGTGACGCGGGCGGCCCTCAGCTTGCAGGGCCGGGTCGTCGGCCCAGCCTGGGCGCGGAGGGCCTCCCAAGAACGCGGCGGTCTTCCCAGGTCCCGCGCGGACTCCCTTGTGTCCCCGGGTCGCGTGAGGCGGGGGCGGGGCGGGTGCGCGCGGGCGGCCGGCTCGCGGCCTCAGCTTCCGGTCTGCGGACCCCAGCTTCCGGCGGGGCGGGGCGGCGCGGGGGCCCGGGCGCTGCATGTGGCCCGGGCAGGCGAGCCTAGCGGGGTCGCGTTCCTACCCGCTAGGTCCGGCAGGCGGGGGTCGTCGTCCTCCCTTTGCCGACGGGGATGTGCGCCGTGGTCACGACGGAAGCGGGTTCCTGGGGATGATGCGTGGGCCTTCGGGTTGATAGGATCAGAAGGGGACGGGATCTGTAGAAAGGGGTCTGCAGCTCAGAGCATGGGGTGGCCTTGGCTCACTACGCCTGCAGCTGTGAATTCGTTCTCCGGTGCTGTAGAGGGATATGGTTATTTCTATTCTCTTGTCTCCACTTGGGAAAGAAGGACGTGCTTTCTCATCCTACGGTTTTTGAGAAATCGCTCTGTGGGAGGATTTGGGGACACAGTGGGGAACCAGACAGGCTGTCGGAGGTCTGGTGCCCACCAGAAGTAAGTTCCCACCCAGGGTACCATTTGCTGGGCTCCCGAGGGAACTGCGTGGGCATCCAGAGGAGTGAGTCGCCCCCTGCTCTGCTCAGTGCCCACCTCCCCGGGCAGGGCAGGCGTTATTAACGTAGGGGGAGAACATCCATGCACACAACACATGCGCGATGAAGTCTGGTCTTTCTTCCTCACCACTTAGCTTATAGGACTTAATCCCGTTTTGGACCTTTCTTAGCCACAGTTTACCCATTTATTACTTGCCACTCTCCCCCCAGCCCACATCCAGCGGGATGGGATAAGGTCTGTTTGAGAAGACAACTTGAGCAAGTGGCTGAAGGCTGGACTGACAGGACCAGGGAGTGTCCTAAAACTGCCATTTCCAGGCCCCATACTAGGGGGAGAGAGGCATTTGCACAAGATACCTAGCTTGCGAGGGCAGCCCGGTGTGTGATTCACAGGGCTGGCTAACTCCACTTTTTCTATCATGTGTTTTCTCTTGAAGCCACAGGAGTAAGTGAGCTTTGAGGGGCACTGCAGAGGGAAAGGAAATAAGGGTTAAGAGCCTGGTGACTGTCTCCAGGAAGCAGAGAGTTGATGGTCAAGGAGGAGGAGGCTCAGAGACAAGTACTGGACACCTGGGAAGGTGGAGGAGGAGAATGGATGCCTCACTCCCCAAGCATCCGCAGAACAGCGCCCTGTGCTCATGAGGGTTAAATGGGGGCTCAGGTCTGCTGTGGCATGGTGCCAGATAGTTGGTGTCATTGTTGAGTTGGACGTGGGTCATAACTGACGCCATGAACAGGTTCTCAGTTGGGGTGTTTGTTGCCATCCAAATTCTGTTGGGGTTAATACATGCTTTTTCATTGCATCAGGCTCCAGGAATGAGCTGTAGCCTGTGGTCTAACCCATTCCTCTTTTCATCACTGGGATGGAAAGGCTTCTAGAAGGGTTATCTGTTCCCCACCATCCTGGTTGGGCACAGTGATCAGAGCCTGCCCTCTGTCTCATGCTGTTTCGGCTCTTATGGGAGGTTGAATGGAGCGGCTGAACTTAGTAGACAGTGGCCTGGTGGAGAAGGAAGCCAGAAGATGCCGAAGGGCTTCCCCTCCCATGGGCACGCCTTCTGCCTGGTGGCTGCAGAATGAGGCCGGTTGCCTCTTCGCAGCAAGGGTAGGTCTTCTGGGTGCATCTTTTCACTTTGGCACATGGCTCCATTTTTCACTTCTCTGACAGCCCAAACGGCTTTCATTTGGGGTCATCACCCTTGGGGTTCCAGTTGCTTTTTTCTGTAGGTCCCAGCCTGCAATGTCACCTCGTAGGCCCCCTGGATGCCGTGGCCTGGCACATCTCATAGCCACTTCTTTCTTATCCTGTGCTTTTTTAGCTTTCTTAGTACACACAGAAGTCGTCTTTGATTTCGGCATTCTTTGCTGGCAGCTGACACCAGGCTCCTGAGAGAGACATCCTTCTCTCTTGTCTGGTTTCTGCCGCCTCTGCAGTGCTCAGTGTGGAGCCTGGGCACGCAGTAAGCAGTGTTCATTGTGTGAAGGGAACTGACAGATAGAAAGCAGTGTCCTGCAGCCAGCTCTGCCCTGGGTATCTGACGCTAGATGTTAACAATACTGACGATTGCTGGAACCTGTGGCTTGCTTTGCTGCTTTTCATGTGCAGGGACTGCAGGTTGTGGGGTTAGGCGGAGGGGTGGGGGGTGCCAGGATTTCACTAAATCTTCACAGTAGCCCTAGGAGACAGGCTGTCCCCCTTCCCAGCTGAGGAGCCTGAAGCCTTGGGACCTTCAGTCATTCGCTCTACATTACTTTTTGAGACGGAGTTTCGCTTTATCGCCCAGGCTAGAGTGCAGTGGGTGATCCCGGCTCACTGCAACCTCCACCTCCTGGGTTCAGGCAATTCATGGTAGCACCTCAGCCTCCCCAGTAGCTGGGATTACAGGTGCCCACCACCACGCCCAGCTAATTTTTGTATTTTTAGTAGAGATAGGGTTTCACCACGTTGGCCAGGCTGGTCTTCAACTCCTGACCTCAAGCAATCCATCTGCCTTGGTCTCCCAAAGTGTTGGGATTACAGGCGTGAGCCACTGTATCTGGACACATTACTTAAAAAAAATTTTTTTTTCATAGAGATGGCATCTTGCTATGTTACCCAGGCTGGTCTCAAGTGATCCTCCTACATCGGTCTCCAAAGTGCTGGAGTTACAGGTGTGAGCCACCACGTCCAGCCCCTACATTGCTCTTCTTGTTTTCTGATGGAAATACTCCTCGTTGCTCTGGGCTGAGGAAAGGTGGTCCCAGAGTTGGCACCTCAGAGCCCCTCTGCTGCACCGCCCCTCAAAGGGGCTTCCCATTCCTCCGAGCACTGCTGCCTGGTGCTGGGGGCCATCCTGACCATAAAGCCGCCATTTTCATTGCCTAAAGATGGCAGTATGTGACTAGCTGCGATTATAAACACCACTTTCCTCCAACCTCTCCCAGCGTCTGGTTAGCACAGAACCCTAAGCTCCATGCAGCTAGGAACTTCCATCTGCCAGGAATGGCGTGGGATGTCCTGTGTAGAATGCACCGGTGGGCCAGCTCTTCCCAAGAAAAAGTTTTTCTGAGCCACATCCCACTGTCAGCACTGTTGTGGTTCACTTGTTGGTTAGTGCAGTGATTTGGGGGAGCAGGAAGTTACGAAAGTGCCCCTCAGTTCACCCTGTTCACGGGTATCTGGAGATGACCTGAAGTGATCTCTTCCTGTGGGCAGTGAGAGGCAGCCTTGGCTGGCACAGTGGACCACGCCTGTAGCGCCAGCACTTTGGAGGTTGAGATAGGTGGATTGTTTGAGACCAGCTTGGGCAACATGGAGACCCCCATCTCTACCAAAAATACAAAAATTAGCTGCGTGTGGTGGCACATGCCTGTAGTCACAGGAGGTGGAGGTTGCAGTGAGCTGTGGTTGCACCACCGCACTCCAGTCTGGGCAACAGAGCCAGACCCTGTCTCAAAAAAAAGAAGAGGCAGCCTCTCCTCTGGCTGTGCATGCAGTGGGAGGGGCCATTGTTTCCGGGGTACGGTGTTTAGGCAGCATGGGGCTGAGTTGGGCAGCTAGAGCATACCGGTGCCGGCAGCATCGGGATTAGCTCCCGGCACGGGCTGGGTTGGCCTTCCCCAGTGCAGCTGGGCTTGTGCTGCTGCCCCTCCTCTGGAGGCTGGAGGACCTGGGACGCTCTGGTGGGTCAGCCCAGCCTCTGGCTTTGCGCACATGGCTCCAAGGGTGTGCACACTGATCTCTTCTGTCCTTAGATACTGTGGGTCTCATCCTTGAGCTGGGAGTGGGTTGACTGCATGCTGCCTTGGTTCTTGTTGTGCATCCTCTAAGAAGGTAGAATAGGTCTCAAGACCCTTCCACCATCTCCTGACCCCCACAACGTTACCCGTCTCCTGCCCGTGGCCTGCCTTTGCCCTGCCATCCCTCAAGACCATTGTGGAGTTGCTACTCCCTTCTGTGCCCCTCCAGGTGTGGGTTTTTCCCAGCGCAGAGGCCAAGCTCTTGGCCGTCCTCCTGGGAGACTGCTCTGGACGGTTCTGTTGCCAGGGAAGGGAGGCCTGCGTGTCCAGACCCCTGCCCACCATGCTGCTTAAAAGTGTCTTCAGGAGAGAACTGGGACCTGGGCTTGGCCAGAGCCTGTGGAAGGCGCTGGGGCTGGGGCTGAGTTGTGGGCTGGCCAAGGTGTGTACGGGTTGCCAGGAAGGCACCCTTGCTGCCTCAGGAGGCCATGGGGGACACCCAGCCGGTTCCTTTGACCATCCAGCCTGCTGGCAGGAGAGGATGGCTTTCTTTGCCTGGGGCAGGAGCACAGGGCTCTCTATCCTCCTCCCTGCCCCTGCTTGGACTTGCTGGCAGCCCCGGCCCAGCCCAGGCTCCGCTCTGCTTCAGACCAGCTCCCTGGGCGTGCTGACGGGTGTGAAGCGAGGGCAGTTTGGGCTGGGGGGTCGTGTCGGAAATGCATCCTTGCCCGGCCTCCCTTGTTTATCTGTGAGGAGCTCAGCCCTTAGCTCGGGAGGAGAGCAGGCCTGGGCGGTGGGGTGGTGTGCCTGTCCGTTAAAACATCTCCTTCCTGCCTGCAGCAGGTCAATGGCCAGCAAGGAGGGGGGTCCGAGCCGGCGGCGGCGGCGGCAGTGGTGGCAGCGGGAGACAAATGGAAACCGCCACAGGTACTGACCTTAAGCATCCTCTCCCTCAGGCCCGCCCGCCCGCCCGCCTGCCTGTGCGTCCCTGGGCCCAGAGAGGGCTGGCTGGGGGCAGGGCGGGAGGGACCTCGGGAACCCTTCTCTGCCTCTGGGCAGACAACTGCCCGCAGGACCACGGCCCTCGCCCTGCGCCAGTCCTGCACCCTCCCCTCCCAGCCACTGAGCCAGCCTTTGCCCTCTGCATCTGCCCTGCTCCAAGCACCAGGCAGGGCCTGTTGACAGTCTGGCCGGGCGAGGATGCCGGGGCCTGGAGCTCACGTGTTCTTAGGCATCTTGCAGGAAGGGTGGACCAAGGTTTCTAGAACGTGCAGTGCTTTAGGAGCCAGAAATACGGATTTCATTTCAGACCTCTGTGTTTTACTTTAAATAAAACAACGAAGCAACGCGCACATCACAGCACGGGTCTGGCTGGGACTCAGCCCTCCCCATCTTTTTTCGGCCCCAGGCCCCAGAGTGGCTGCGGGTGGGTCTTGGCCTGTTCGATGGCCCAGCCTTGGGAGCGGGTCCTCTCGGAGGTGCAGCTGGGCCTGTGGCTGTGCAGTCGGTTCTTTGTGCTTCTCCATGGTAGTGCCCGCCTCTAGAGCATTCCAGCGGGGCCTCAGCAAGGTGGCCTGGGCGGCCTCTTGGGGCTGAGCCCTCCTCTTGGTCCCCCAGGCACGCTTAGGGGGTGGGACTGGGACATGGTATGCAGCCTGGATCCTGGGAGATGTGGGGGCTGGTGCTCCCTGGCCCTTGGCTGGCGCCCAGCCCACCATTGGTTGGTGGGAGAAGGGCCTTTTGTTTACCAAGACAAAGAGGAGATTGAAAAGTGTCTGGGGGTTGAGGGGATTGGCATTGATTACCATGGTGACAGCCTGTCTCTCAAGTCCCAGCCTCTGGCTCTTGGGCCCTCTTTCCCACTAAGGAGGAATGGGCTTGGGGCCAGCTGTGAGGGTGGCAAGGACAGGTCTAGTGTGAGCCGGACTGGGGCACCTGGTGCCACCCACAGCCAGCCTTTGACCTTCAGGGACTGGCTGGGGCTCCAGTTGCCTGGGGAGGGGTCTCCAGGGCTTCTTGCTCTTTGAGCCTGGGCCAGCATCCCAGCACTTGGCAAGCAGGAGGGGGTTCTTGGGGCTTAGGCCAGCCTGTCCCTTCCTGCCTCCTGTGTCCCTCTGTCCTTGCTCTGTCCTTGCTGGGAACCCTTCTCTCTTCTCTGCTGTCCCTCAAGGCTGCATCTGGAAGTCTGGGAGGGCCCAGTTGGTGGGCCAGTGGTCTTTGTGCTTGCCGAGCTGGGGGACAGGCGCAGGCATGCTGTCTGCCCACCCCACACTCTGCTGGGCCTGCTGGCCATGCCTCCCTGCTCACGCAGCTGCGTTCTTCCCTCTGCAAAAAGCTTAGAGATGGATTTTGACAGAAGGGATGTAAACATAGTCCTGGTTGGCATCAGCTTGGGTCTGCAGTGGCTGTGATTGCCCAAGGGCCTCCTGGTCCCCAGGCCCACCTGGCTGGGGCGCCGGTGGGTCTGCTCCTGGCTTCTCCCAGTGGGCCAGGCACAGCCCATGCAAGAGTGTGTGTGAGTGAGCTGGAGCCCTCTGCAGAGCTCATGCGGCCCGAGAGAGGCCTGTGTTCTCTGGGAGGTGTGCACAGTGCCTGCGGGGACTGGGGGTGGGCGGGGCGGGAGAACACTGTTGGGAGAGAGGCCCTTGTATTTGCTCCTTGGATGGCCCCTTGAAACTCCGGGGAAGCTGAGCCTGTGTCTGTGGCAGGGACTGTGAGGAATCCCAGAGGAGCCTGGGAGCGAGGAGTCCCAGCATGTCCAGAGAGCCCTGGCCCTTTTCTCCTGCCTTCCTGCCTTGGAGGACAGCTGAGGCTGGCCCTCCTGCAGGGCATGTGATAGCAGCTCTGGAGTCAGACTGACAACAAGGGCCTGGACCCCTTCCCTGCCTCCAGCTGTTTATCTTGGTGGCGCCCAAGGAGGCCACTGTGGCCTGGGCCCCACAACTGCTCAGGTTGGCCCAGGGCTTCCAGGGCACCTTCTTGCCTCTGTCTGTGTTCTACCCCATGGGTCCTGGGGGAGACAGCAGCCTGGGCTGGGGACAGCAATGTCAGAAGGGCAGGCCTGAGTCCAGGCCAGGCAGGGGATAGTCTGTGCTAAGGCCCTGTCTCTCTGGGAAGGGGCTGGGCCAGAGCCCGTGTGCAGTGTTTGGGAGACAGGTGGGGTGGCACTCCTGGGGCCATGTGAAAGAGAACTTGAGCTTGCTGTTGACAGATTCCCCTGCTCCCCTACCAGGGCACAGACTCCATCAAGATGGAGAACGGGCAGAGCACAGCCGCCAAGCTGGGGCTGCCTCCCCTGACGCCTGAGCAGCAGGAGGCCCTTCAGAAGGTGAGCATGGACCTCCCAGGGCACTGCAGGTGTGGGCCAGTCAACTGGGGGCAGGGGCAGGGTACGGGGCAGGCCTGTCTCCCATGGGCCGGGCCCCCAGTGCTCCTCACTGCCACCTCTCTCAGGCCAAGAAGTACGCCATGGAGCAGAGCATCAAGAGCGTGCTGGTGAAGCAGACCATCGCGCACCAGCAGCAGCAGCTCACCAACCTGCAGGTGAGCCCCAGCCGGAGCCTCTACCGCCCTCCCCACCACCACCACCATCTCCTCCTCTTCACGCTCTTCCTCCTCCTGTGCCTGCGGTCGTCCCCGCAAGCTGTTACAGTACTCCGATTCTCAGACTCATGCTCGGGACCCCCGGGGTCCTCTCTGAGGCACGAGTGGCCCAGCCTTTCCCACCTGTTGCTCGCTGGAGCCCCTAAAGCGCCGCAGCCCCTTTCTTGGCTGCTTGGCTGCAGCTCTATCCTGTTCCCCTTGCTGGTCTTCACACTGTGGCCTCTGGTCTCCCCTGTGCTTCCCACCCCAGCTGTGCACAGCTGATGGTGGCAGCATGCAGGGCGTGGACCTCCCTGCCCCCGTGGCCTGGATAAGACTGCTCAGGCCCTCACCCCTGCAGTGAGTCCAGACCACCTGGGCTCAGCCCCAGGACTGAGGGGACAGTCTAGAGGCACCTGCCCTGGGGCCCTGCTTTAGGCCTGTGGCCGGAGGCTGCGATACCTTCGTGGGAAGAGGCCGGTGTGAGGCCGACAGGTTCCTGGGCCTCGAGCCTCACGCCCCCCGCCCAGCCCTCAGACATTCACGCTGCCAGGAGTTGTCCTGGCCGTACACTGCGCTCCACTGCCCTCCTCCCTCCCTCCCTTCCTCCCTCCCTCCCTCCCTTCCTTTCTGCCCCGGCCAGCCCAGCTGCAAGGCTGCAGGGCGGGGCACATGGGGCGCTGCGGCCCCCCTGGGCAGGTGCCGGCGGCCGGCAGTGTGGGAAGGCAGGCGGCCTCCCTGGCAGGGCGGGGACTCCGGGCCTTGCCGCTGTCTGCGTGAGGTGTTGACGAGAGCGGGAGACTGCTCGGCTCCAACAGACTGAACTCTGTCTTTACTGTCTTTCAGATGGCAGCAGTGACAATGGGCTTTGGAGATCCTCTCTCACCTTTGCAATCGGTCAATAGAAATGCTCACTTCTTCCGGGGCTCATGTCCTTAGTCAGGGCTAGAGGGGGGCAGTGCAGCCCACGTGCTGGGGACCTTGCTCCCCTGGCCGGCCCTGCCCGCCAGCTCTGGACGAGCGCAGCAGAGCGCCAGGCGTGGTGGGGCCAGTGGTGTGGGCACCCACCCGGGACCGCCCCTGGGGAGGCCTCCATCTGCTCTGAGGGCCCACCTTAAAACTAATCGGCCAGGTAACTGCGGAGGGCAGCCGGCCAGGGCGGGTAGCTGCCGGCACCAGGCCCGTCTGTGCCCACGCCACCTGCACGCACGGGGTGCGCCTACGGCCTCCAGCCCCGTCAGTCTCCAGGCTGCCTGGCTCTTGGGTTGGGGTCAGGCCCCTGAGGAGAGAAGGGTCCTAACTCATGGCCCCATCAGACCCTGGAGGGAGGATGGATGGATGGGGTGGGGGTGGGGGGACCCAAGCGAGCAAGGGAAGGGCAAGCAGGGCCTTGTGCCTGGCTGTCAGCAAGGGGCAGAGGCCATGCAGCCAGGGCGGAGGAGGCAGGGGCCACGGCTATGGCCTTCGCTGTGGTGGGCAAAGGAGTCCGGGAAGGAGGTGCCCCTCCCTTCCCCCAGAGGCAGGCTCAGGAGGAGGCCAGGCCCCATCTCGGGGATCCTGAGGGGAAGATGTGGCCCCTTCTCTGGGAGCCTCTATTCAGAGGGGGCATCCCTGTGTGTGTGGCTCCCATGGGGCAACACACGCCTTGTTCTCTCTGGGAAGCATCTGAATGGGAATCTGGGCTGGGGGTCTGGTCAGGGAGAGAGCTCTTGACCTGCCTGGGGGTGGGGCCCCACACTGAAAAGGAGACACAGCCCTGTCTTGGGGGAACATGACCTGAGGGACAAGCCTGGTCTTGTGTCTGGGGAGCCTGCTGACTGAGGGGGATGTGATTCCACCTTTGGGGGGCCTTGCTCTGAGTGGGGAGCCTGAGGTCTGTTAGGGGGCCCAGTTTAAGGAGAACACAGTCTCATTTTCAGGGAATGCCTAGTTTGAAGGAAGATGTCTCACCTTGGGAAGTCCCTTGATGTGGAGAGATGCTTCCAGGCCCCTCTCCATGGGATGGGGAGGTTCAGCCTGCATTAGGCCTGCTGACGTCTAAAGAGGGAAACTGGTCTCTGGCCACAAGGCCTTGTGTGGAGAGGGGCAGGGCCTGGCTCCAGCTGCCTGCTTTGCCTGCCCTGGCCCACAGTCTCCCTGTGGCCCACTGCGTGTGGCTCTGGAAGTCCCCAGCTTGGCACGTCTCCTGTGAGGTGGCAGGGACGAGAACCCGTCCCTGAGGGTGTGGGGAGGTCCCTCAGCATAATAGCCAAGCTCACAGCCAAGGCCCTGGACCAGCTAGGCCTGTCACCTCACCAGCTCCAAAGAGCCTGAAGGCTTCTCTTAGGGTCTCTGCTACCTCATGGTGCCCCCGGGGGCCAGGCCAGTGGTCTCGCCTGGGCCCGCTCTCGGCTGTGGGCACGGGCTCCAGGCAGCTCCTTTGTGAGGAGTTGCAGGGTACTGGGAAGGCGCAGCATGAGCCCCTACTGGAGTTGGCCCCGCATGAGCAGCTGCTCCTCGTTCTTTCTTCAGGGAGCCCCCATCTGGCTCCTCAGCTCCTCCCCTGGGGTCTCTTCTGGGCAGTGGCTGCCCTGTCTTCTGACCTCCTCTCTTCTGGCCACCAAACCAGTGGGTCCCTCCAGCTTGGATGGCTCCTCCTTCCCTCTTCTGTCATGGTCCTTGGCTGGGACGGTGGGAAGATCTCCCAGCCCAGCCTGGGATACCCAGCCCCCAGACTGGAGGGGTGGTCTGGGTGGGAGGGCGCGCAGCCCTGCCTCCTGACCATCTGTCGGCTTTGCTGCCACAGTCTGCCTGGGACCTTGGCGGGCTGGGGTGCGTCCTGTCCTGCCGCTGGGCCTGGCCTGCCTTCTTTGGGTGGCGGGGTCCTGCGACCCCCTCACCCTGACTGCAGGGATGGAGCCCGCACCTCCCTGCCATGTGGGGAGCCCTCCCCACAGCAGGGCTGAGTGGGTGGGCCAGGAGGGGAGTGGGCTGCCCAGCCTCCTGCCGCCCCTGACGAGCCAGCGGTTCTCTCCCCTCTGTCCTGCTGCAGATGGCGGCTCAGCGGCAGCGGGCGCTGGCCATCATGTGCCGTGTCTATGTGGGCTCCATCTACTACGAGCTGGGGGAGGACACCATCCGCCAGGCCTTTGCCCCCTTTGGTCCCATCAAGAGCATCGACATGTCCTGGGACTCTGTCACCATGAAGCACAAGGTCAGCAGGCTTGGTCTGCCCTGGCCACTTAGGGCTCGCCCCCACCCCTGGGCTCGCGCAGCCTGACAGGTGTGTCCTTGTGTCTAGGGTTTTGCCTTCGTGGAGTATGAGGTCCCTGAAGCTGCACAGCTGGCCTTGGAGCAGATGAACTCGGTGATGCTGGGGGGCAGGAATATCAAGGTGAGGCGGGGAGCCAAGGCCTTGATCCCACAGGCGTGCAGGGCTGCCCCTCCATAGAAGTCTTTTGTGGCTGGGCCTGGGTTGACAGGTCTCTCCATCTCACCCACTCTTCCCCAGGTGGGCAGACCCAGCAACATAGGGCAGGCCCAGCCCATCATAGACCAGCTGGCTGAGGAGGCACGGGCCTTCAACCGCATCTACGTGGCCTCTGTGCACCAGGACCTCTCAGACGATGACATTAAGAGTGTGTTTGAGGCCTTTGGCAAGATCAAGTCTTGCACACTGGCCCGGGACCCCACAACTGGCAAGCACAAGGGCTATGGCTTCATTGGTGAGCTGGGGTGGCTGAGGCGGGATGGGGGCCACCTGAGGCTGGGGCTGGCCCTGCTCACTGCTGCTACTGCCCACAGAGTACGAGAAGGCCCAGTCGTCCCAAGATGCTGTGTCCTCCATGAACCTCTTTGATCTCGGTGGCCAGTACTTGCGGGTGGGCAAGGCCGTCACACCGCCCATGCCCCTACTCACACCGGCCACGCCTGGAGGCCTCCCACCTGCCGCTGCTGTGGCAGCTGCTGCAGCCACTGCCAAGATCACAGCTCAGGTGAGGGCCCACACATCTGTGTCAGCTTGAGGGTGGGCGGGCCGGGCCCTGATTCCTTGGAGACTGATTCAAGGTGGTCTTGAGTAGCCAGACCAGGGACTGAGCATGGTGACCTTTTGGGTTGCAGGAAGCAGTGGCCGGAGCAGCAGTGTTGGGTACCCTGGGCACACCTGGACTGGTGTCCCCAGCACTGACCCTGGCCCAGCCCCTGGGGACTTTGCCCCAGGCTGTCATGGCTGCCCAGGCACCTGGAGTCATCACAGGTGAGTCCAAGTGGTACCAGATCCTTTCCTCTCCTGTCCTGGCATCTCTAGGCTCGCTGCCCTCAGCTGCCTGGCCCTGTTGGTCTGGCCGAAACCCTCTGAGCCCAGGGCAGGCCATGGCTGGTCAGTTCTGTGCCTTTCTGGGAAGGAGGGTGGTAGGGAGTGACTGACGGACCTGAGTGGTTTTCCTGCAGGTGTGACCCCAGCCCGTCCTCCTATTCCGGTCACCATCCCCTCAGTGGGAGTGGTGAACCCCATCCTGGCCAGCCCTCCGACGCTGGGTCTCCTGGAGCCCAAGAAGGAGAAGGAAGAAGAGGAGTTGTTTCCCGAGTCAGAGCGGCCAGAGATGCTGAGCGAGCAGGAGCACATGAGCATCTCGGGCAGCAGCGCCCGTCACATGGTGATGCAGAAGCTGCTCCGCAAACAGGAGGTAGGCAGAGGGGTGGGGTGGTGGCCAGCGGGGAGGTGGGGGAGGTAGGGGGCAGGGCCGCAGCACTCAGCTGTCTCCCCTCGCCCCGGCCCCACAGTCCACAGTGATGGTTCTGCGCAACATGGTGGACCCCAAGGACATCGATGATGACCTGGAAGGGGAGGTGACAGAGGAGTGTGGCAAGTTCGGGGCCGTGAACCGCGTCATCATCTACCAAGAGAAACAAGGCGAGGAGGAAGATGCGGAAATCATTGTCAAGATCTTTGTGGAGTTTTCCATAGCCTCCGAGACTCATAAGGCCATCCAGGCCCTCAATGGGCGCTGGTTTGCTGGCCGCAAGGTGGTGGCTGAAGTGTACGACCAGGAGCGTTTTGATAACAGTGACCTCTCCGCGTGACATTGGCCCCTCTCCCCGGACTTGCACTTGTTCCTTGTTTCCTCTGGGTTTTATAGTGATACAGTGGTGTCCCCGGGGCCAGGCGCACTGTGCCCAGCCCGGCCTATAGTGCGGATAAAGGTGCGGATGCTGCTGGCCCTGAACGTCCGTGTGTCTGCCCTCGGTCCTGTCACCCATCCTGGGTGTGTGTCCTTAGGGGGTCTAGGGCGAGGAGGCCGGAGTGGGGGTGGTCTCTGGACCTGCTTCGTGGAAGCAGGCGGGGCCCGCCGTGGGGCGAGACTTGGGCAGGGGGTTGGATCCCTGGGCTCCGTCCCGCGGGTGGCGGCAGCTAGGTGGGCGGGGCTGCCTGGGGCGCCGGGCGCCGGGCGCTCGGGCCCGGGCTCGCAGCCGTCCCCGCAGGGTGGTGCTGACAGAACGGGGACACCGCGATCCGCCGGACAGCGTGCGCTGCCAGTGTGCTTTTGTGCCGTAGAGTCGGTCGTCCAAGGCGAGGGAGCGGGCGGGCGGGCGTGGTCGCTTCCCGGGAGGAGGCCGCGCATTGAGATTCGTGGCCAGGGGTCGGCTGAAAACGGCTGCGGAGGGCGCGGCCTCTCGCGGACTGTAGCTCCCGCAGGCCCACGCGCGGGGCGGGCCCGGTTTCCCGGCAGGCTTTGCGCGGGGCCGCTACGGGTCCTCGGAGGCGACCGCGCGGGGCCTTCTGGGGGCCGCAGTCCGGGCGTACTGGGCGGCGAGGGCCGGACTCGGCTTCCCGACGGGCTGCGCGGCGGCCGGGTGGGTGTCGGCGGGGCAGTCCGGCGGGCAGCGGCGGTTCCGGTGCGGCACAGCGGGCGGACGAGCGAGCGGGACGAGCTGAGCGGGACCAAGCGGGATGCGGAGCCGCCGCCGCCGCTTCCCCCGCCTCCTGAGAGTGTGAGACCCGCCGGGCCGCGCCCCCTGCCCAGGCCCGCAGTCTGAGCATTCCGAGCGCGGGCCGGGCCCAGCGCCGGCCGCGGCCGCGTCCCCGTCCAGTCTCCGGCGGCCCGCCCCCTGCCTGCGCCCCTTTCCCATGCGCGGCGCCCATGCGGACTGAGCCCCGCCCCCCGGCCCCGAGCCCGCCGAGCGCCGCCGCCGGAGCCCGCGCCGCCCACCCGCACCATGCTCAAGTGCATCCCGCTGTGGCGCTGCAACCGGCACGTGGAGTCGGTGGACAAGCGGCACTGCTCGCTGCAGGCCGTACCCGAGGAGATCTACCGCTACAGCCGCAGCCTGGAGGAGCTGCTGCTCGACGCCAATCAGCTGCGCGAGCTGCCCAAGGTGAGCGGTTGCCCGCACCTGCCGCCCAAAGGCGCGTCCCCAGCCCCTGGTTCCGCCGGTGGCAGAATCTGCCCGGGCGAGCCACCGCAGCCTCCAGCCGGCCCTGCTGGTTTGCACTGGCCAGGTCCCCACCCCAGCCAGCCCCACCCTCCTCTCCCAGCCGCCCTGGGTGGCGCAGGTGGCAGCGGTCATCAGGTGCTTGCCTGGGGATAGCGATTGTCACCGCGCCTGGAGGAGGAGCCTGAGAATGAAAACCATAGGGATTCGGGGAGGTCGATGGGATTAGGGTGGAACTTGGATTCAGGTGACTGATGAGTACTACTTGTTGGGCTGTTCTGGAGATGGGGTCCAGGTCTCCTCTCCTTTTCTTCCTGGGTGCAGGGGTGAGTGGGGGAGCCCTCCTGATGTGGCCTTTGCACTCGGATCTGCTCGCTGTCCCTCTCTCTTTGTCCTCGCTTCTCATGGTCAGTTGCTCTCCTAAGGCTCCTCCAAGAAAGGAGGTGGAAACACAGATTAAGAAGTATCTCTTTTCTGGAGATGGGGTGCTGAGTGGCCAATACCTGGGGGTTGGGTGTCCCAAAGAATGTGACCCTGTTCTGGCCCTGGCAGTGACAGCACGGTTCTCCGTGGCCACCTGCAGGCTTTGCACATAGCACCATGCCTGTGGTACTTTGCTGTTTTTGTTAACGTTTTTGGGGGGAGCATTTGTTGAGTTCTTACTGCAGAACCACGCCAGGCTTGTTAGTGGGATGCAGTAGCAGAGACCAGTGTGAGCCCCTGGAGGGTGACAGAAGTGGTTCGGGGCCTGGGTAGGCCGAGATAAGACACAGTGCAGGGGATTGGAGTTTTGTCTGGTCACCAGCAGGTGCCTTCTTAGAGCAGAGGCTGGTGTGAAGAGTGGAGGGAGGTGGACACAGTGGGCATGTGCACCGTGTGTTTCTTTGCTTTTCTTGCCACAAACGGGGTGTCATGGTTAGACCCCAAGATCCTGTGTGACCTGGAGCAGGCAGAGGCCTAGGGACCCTTGGCTTGTGATACCCACGTGTCCAGGAGCTCTTCTCTGCTCTGGAGTGGCCTCTGCCACAGAGTCCGTGTCCTCCCTGCCCACAGCCCTTTTTCCGGCTGCTGAACTTGCGCAAGCTGGGCCTGAGCGACAACGAGATCCAGCGGTTACCTCCCGAGGTGGCCAACTTCATGCAGCTGGTGGAGCTGGACGTGTCCCGGAATGGTGGGGAGCCTGGGCAGGGGCTGGGTGGAGTCTGGGGAGTGTCTGCTGGGGCTGCAGACGTCCTGTAGGCCATGGCATCTGTCCACTGTGATCCTCTGTAATAGATATCCCTGAGATCCCAGAGAGCATCAAGTTCTGCAAAGCTTTGGAGATCGCGGACTTCAGCGGGAACCCCCTTTCCAGGTGGGTGGCAGCCTGTGGTGGGGTCGGTAGGGGCTGTGGATCCCACAGCCGTGGTCTGGTTGTCCGACAGCTTCTGCTTCCTCCCATCCAGGCTCCCCGATGGCTTCACTCAGCTGCGCAGCCTGGCTCACCTGGCCCTCAATGATGTGTCCTTGCAGGCACTGCCCGGGGACGTGGGCAAGTGAGTGCCCTCGCACGTGGAGTCAGGGTGGGATGGGGGGCTTGGATTGGCCCTGCCCCTGCCACCGTTGCCTGCCTTCCTCGTGCCTCAGCCCTTGGTCTCTCTTTTAGCCTCGCCAACCTGGTGACCCTGGAGCTCCGGGAGAACCTGCTCAAGTCCCTGCCAGCGTGAGTGTGACAGGCATTCTCCCAACGGCCAGGGCAGGGCTACAGCCTAGGGACCAGGGCTGCATGGCCCCACCCCCACCTTGCTTTCTCTGCAGGTCCCTGTCTTTTCTGGTCAAGCTGGAACAGCTGGATCTGGGAGGCAACGACCTGGAAGTGCTGGTGCGCAGAGGCCTGACAGGGCGGAGACCGGAGGGCGGGCCACGAGAAGCAAGGGCAAAGAAAGGGGGACAGCGAGCAGATCCAACAGCAAGGGGCACATCAGGAGGGCAGGCGGGGGGAGCTGGGTGTGGGGCCATGTAGTCTCCTGGGCATGGCACAGCAGGAAGCCCTGCCCCACAGTCACTATTCTCTCTGTTCCTTCTTGCAGCCGGACACTCTGGGGGCTCTGCCTAATCTTCGGGAGCTGTGGCTTGACCGGAACCAGCTGTCAGCACTGCCCCCGGTGAGTCAGGGTGGGGCTGGCCCCCTGCTTCGTGCCCATCCGCACTCTGACTCTCCACCTGCCTGCAGGAGCTTGGGAACCTGCGGCGTCTGGTGTGCCTGGACGTGTCGGAAAACCGGCTGGAGGAGCTGCCTGCTGAGCTCGGCGGGCTGGTGCTGCTTACTGACCTGCTGCTGTCCCAGAACCTGCTGCGGCGGCTGCCCGACGGTATCGGTTAGTGCGCCTGGGGGTGCCCGGGTGGGGCGCACAGAGCCTGGCCCTGGGAGGAGCATGAGGCGTCGGGGCCATGTGTGGTATGGAACACAGGAGGATCCTGAGTCTGCCCAGGCTCTGGGAGCTGTGCCTGAGGAGGGGAGGGGAGGTGGGACCGTGGGGCAGCCCCGAAGGCTGAGGAGGCAGCTGGTGGTGCTGGAGGGGGCGGTGGAGCCTGTGAGGCCAGAAGGGTGGGCAGCGTCACTGGGGCCTGGTGTTTTCTCAAAGGAGGTTGGGTCAGGCTGTGGGGGCAAGGTAGGTAGGGTCCTCCTGAAGTATGGCGGCAGCAAGAGGGGCTGGGGGCCTCGCTGTTTGCTTTGAGAGCGCCTTTAGCCAGGTGGGTAAGGCACGTCTGGGGCCTGTGCTCAGCCGTGTCACCCTGTCTCCCCGGTGCCAGGTCAGCTGAAGCAGCTGTCCATCCTAAAGGTAGACCAGAACCGGCTGTGTGAGGTGACCGAGGCCATCGGGGACTGTGAGAACCTCTCAGAGCTGATCCTCACGGAGAACCTGCTGATGGTAGGGTCCGGCTCGGGAGGCAGAAAGGGCGGGACCGTCGGGCGTGTGGAACAAGGGCGGGGCATCAGCCTGTGTGCGCTGCTGGGGGGTGCTGGTGGCAGCCTGACTCGTGGAGCCACTCGGGAAGGGCCCTTCTGTCAGAGCGGGAGCATGCTGGCCAGAGTGAGGCGGGGCAGCGAGCCCAGGGCAGGGCCCTTTGCCATTTACTGTGGAGAGTCCAGGTCTTGTCTTTTCTGGCACATGTTGTAACACTGGGGAGTGATTGCAGAAGAGGCAGGGGTAGGAACTGATTTGTCTGTAGGGAAGACAGGTGGGGAGCAGGCTGCTCCCCCGGGGCATCTCCCTGCCCCTCACGAAGCAAGGCAAGCTGAGGCCCCGGGCCGGGGCTCCAGACGATGGTGCTGCCATCCCCAGGCTGGAAAACAGGAGCTAGCTGTGGGTAGGGTGTTCATGGGAGTTTCCATGGGGGCGTTCTCATTGAGGAGAGGGAGAAAGGGATTCTGGGGTTCAGGGCCCTAGGAAGGGGCTGGCCCTGAGCAGGCTGGAACTGGGGCCTGGGGCGCCCTAGGGATGAGAGAGCAGACCAGTGAGGCACCAGACAGGCTCACAGGGTGTAGCCTCGCAGGTAGTCCAGGGAACCCATGGGAAAGGGCCAGGGATGACTCTGGTGGGATGTTTTGGTGGTGGGGACTGAAGGTTGAGGTCAATGGCCAGAGCTTGGGGAGCAGAAGGCATGGAGTGGGGTGGAGACAGCCTCTGTGGTCGGCTCCCTGTCCAGGTCTCCAAGGGCTGTGAGGGACCCTGGCTGGAGCTGACCTGGAGTGTCTGTGCCCTCCCCCCAGGGGCTGTCATCTCCTTCCTAACTAGCAAGCCCCTAGCGTCCTCTGACCTCCTCTTCCCGGCCAGGCCCTGCCGCGCTCCCTGGGAAAGCTGACGAAGCTGACCAACCTCAACGTGGACCGGAACCACCTGGAGACGCTGCCGCCCGAGATCGGGGGCTGCGTGGCACTCAGCGTCCTCTCCTTGAGGGACAACCGCCTGGCCGTCCTGCCGCCGGAGCTGGCCCACACGGCCGAGCTGCACGTGCTGGATGTGGCAGGGAACCGGTGAGTGCCAGCCTTGCCCCGCAGGCCAGACTGTGGCCCCAACGCCTGCTGACTGCCTGCCTGGCCCGCAGGCTACAGAGTCTGCCGTTCGCGCTCACCCACCTCAACCTCAAGGCCCTGTGGCTGGCGGAGAACCAGGCGCAGCCCATGCTGCGGTTCCAGACGGAGGATGATGCCCGGACTGGCGAGAAGGTGCTCACCTGCTACTTGCTGCCCCAGCAGCCTCCATCCAGCCTCGGTAGGTTGTTGGCAACTGGTGTTTAGCACGGGGTGGCCCTCAGGCAGGGCTCGGGGACCAGCCTGGGTCCTGACACTCACCTGCTGCAGAGGATGCTGGGCAGCAGGGGAGCCTCTCGGAGAGCTGGAGTGATGCCCCGCCGAGCCGCGTCAGCGTCATCCAGTTCCTGGAGGCCCCCACAGGTGATGAGGATGCTGAGGAAGCTGCAGCCGAGAAGCGGGTATGAGGGTGGGGACCTGGGGGGTGAACCTTTGCCTGACCCCTGCCCTGTGGCTGCTGCTCACCCCTGTCCCCACCGCAGGGCCTGCAGCGCCGGGCCACACCTCACCCCAGCGAGCTCAAGGTGATGAAGAGGAGCATCGAGGGGCGGCGGAGCGAGGCCTGCCCTTGCCAGCCAGACCCTGGGTCGCCCTTGCCTGCGGAGGAGGTGGGCGTGGAGCCACGGCAACCTGTGGTGGAGCTGTGGTGGTCTAGTCCGTCCTGGGAGTGGGGCTGTAAGGGCCAGGGCAGCACAGAGAAGGAACAAGAGATGAGGCTGATGACAGGATTTCGGGACATGGAGCTGCAGGGCCAGCTGGGTGAAGGGTGCCAAGGTGGACATGCAGGTTGTGCAGGGCAGGTCTGTGGGGCTGGAGTACGGGGAGAGCCAGAGGTGAGTTTCCCTGGGAGCACAGGGAATGGGGTTTGGTTGTTGGGAAGGTCCTCTGGTGGAACCGGCTAGGGTATCATCGGCACCTGGGAAGGGGTTTGGGGCTGGGACAGAGCAGGCCTGACTCTCCTCTCACAGCTGTGACATGCGTGCTGTGGGTTCCTGGGTGCAGCCAAACCAGTCGTCTGGGCTGGGGTAGGGTGTGTGGGGCCGCGCATGGGAGGGGAGGAGGCTCACATCGGGCTGGGATACTTCTGGGAACTCGTTTGGTCCTTGTTCGTTTTAGGAAAGGCTTTCACTGGGGCTGGGCTGTGGAACCATGGCTTTGCCCACCCTAGGCTTTGGAGGCGTGTGGCTTCCTTGCAGGCTGGGCCAGGGAGCAGCTGTGACGGTGTGAGCCTATTAACAGTGCCTGGTCAGGGCAGTGGGAAGCTGAGGGAAGGACTGCCACATGAGGGGCATCCCAGGTGGCCAGCCTGTGAGTCGGGAGCCTGACCCCACTTCCCGCCGCAGGAGAAGCGGCTGAGTGCCGAGTCTGGCCTGAGTGAAGACTCTCGCCCGTCTGCCAGCACAGTCTCTGAGGCTGAGCCCGAGGGCCCATCGGCTGAGGCACAGGGTGGAAGCCAGCAGGAGGCCATGAGTGCTGGTGGGGAGGAAGACGCCGAAGAGGACTATGAGGAGGTATGGATTGGCAGGAAGGGGGCAGGGGGCTGGGCCTGCTGGGTGGGCGCCGTCTCCCCTGCAGGGCCTCAGCTGGGGTCGGTTTTGGTGCAGGCAGTGGCTGGGCCCTGCTGATGCTTGGGGGAGCTGCCCTGTACAGAGTGGCTGCGGGTGGTGCAGGGCCGTGCTGTGGGGGTGCCCTGGAGAGCTGCCACCCTAGGTGGGGTGAGGGTCTGCCCTGACAGCTGGGCTCACAGACCCTACCTCCACCCTGGACTCCCGTCTGAATCCCTGTGGTCTCCCTGGTGTCAGGCCTTGGTGCACCCCTTCGTTTCCACCTGGGGCGCCGTGTGTCTCCAGGATGAGCCCCTGGCCCTCTGCCTTTCTCAGGGCTGAGACACGTGCCCCTCACTGGTCAGTCAATGCTGGGTCCTCGTGTGGCAGGGAGCCTTTCAGAGCCCTTGTCTGTGGCCACACTGCTTAGCAGGGCCTTCCTGTGGAAGCACAGCCCCAGAACTGGGACCACCCTCACCCTTGTGTCTGCACAGCCTGCGGTGCATTTTGCGGAGGACGCACTGCTGCCCGGGGATGACCGGGAGAGCGAGGAGGGGCAGCCTGAGGCCCCCTGGACCCTGCCGGGCGGGAGGCAGCGGCTCATCCGCAAGGACACGCCTCACTACAAAAAGCACTTCAAGATCTCCAAGCTGCCCCAGCCGGAGGCCGTTGTGGCCCTGCTGCAGGGCATGCAGCCCGATGGGGAGGGCCCTGTGGCTCCCGGGGGCTGGCACAATGGCCCCCACGCACCCTGGGCTCCTCGGGCCCAGAAGGAGGAGGAGGAGGAGGAGGAAGAGGGTAGTCCTCAGGAGGAGGAGGAGGAGGAAGAGGAGGAAAGCAGGGCTGAAGAGGAGGCCAGCACTGAGGAGGAGGACAAGGAGGGGGCCGTGGCTTCTGCGCCCTCTGTCAAGGTGGGTGTCAGCCTCACCCCTGCCTGACCCAAATTCCCCTGGCCCTCCTGGGCACCCAGGGCTGCGGTAGGGGCAGGGCTGAGGACTGACCCACTGGCCCCTGGCCACCCGGAGAGGATGGTGGACATGTTGTGAGAGTCGGCATCGCGGCCACTCTCACCAGACCCCAGGGCTGCCCTGGCGTTGGTCTCAGTCCGTGCTTGGGGCCCAGGCCTGCCCTGGCGTTGGTCTCAGTCCGTGCTTGGGGCCCAGGCCTGCCCTGGTGTTGGTTTCAGTGCCAGAGGCTGCTCCGCTGGCCAGTATTTGCCCGACCTGCTGGCGGGCACAGAGTTCACAGAAAACAAGCGTGGCTGCCCACCCTTTGTGGGTCTCCGGGACCTGTCTGCACATGTAGTGGTCCAAGGGCAGGGTCTGTTCGTCTCCCAAGATCCCTGGGCTCTCCTGGGATCCTCCCTGCGTTAGGCACTGGCTGCAGGCCTGAGGCCCTGACGGCTCTGTTCTGCCTTGTCGGGCCTTCCTGAGGTGCCACACGGGCCTTTGGGGCACCAGTGTGTCCCTTCCTGGCCCTCAAGTCTCCTCCATGGCTCACAAAGGGTCTCACCTTGACAAACTCGGATGCCAGGGGGAGTCCCTGGGTCCCACTCCCCTTGCCCTTGATGACACCCCGACCCTGAGTGTGGGCCAATGGCATAATAGCCGAGGGGGCCTGGAGGGGCCACAGCAGGGACAGCCGGGTGGGGCTCGGCTCAGCTCTGGAGCCCCTGGCGAGCCCTGCTTGTCCCCAGGTGTGCGGTGTCACTCACGTTTCCAGGATGGAGGCGCCCGTGCCAGGGCAGTCGAGGGAGCTTGGTGTGGTCTCCTCTGTCCTTTCTGCTCGTGGCGGGGGCTGGGTGAGGCGGTGGTGGCGGTCTTGGCGGTGGCTAACCTGCATGCCTCGCTGGTCCTGTCCTAACAGGGGGTGTCGTTTGACCAGGCCAATAACCTGCTGATAGAGCCTGCTCGCATTGAGGAGGAAGAGGTCTGTACTGCTCGCTCTGCGCTCTGGCCGGGCCGCCGCTGGCCTCGCTTCCCGGGCTGGGGCTCGGTCTGTACCGCTCACTCTGCACTCTGGCCGGGCCGCCGCTGGCCTTGCTTCCCGGGCTGGGGCTCACGCCTCTCCCCGCCCCTGTTGCTTGAGCGCAGATCCCTCCCAAAAGAGCTCTCAGATCGAGCTGGGCTCCAGGATCAGGACACCTCCTGCCTGGGGCAGCCTGTCTTGGCAGGGGCAAGCGGAGAGGCTGGTCTGACTCCCATCAGCCGCCTGTGGCACTCTGAGCCTTACCTGCCTGCAGAGGCAGTGCAACCCTCACCCTCTGGAGGGTGGCGGGGGGCCTCGGGCCTCCATCACCCAGAGGTGGGCAAGCCCCAGCCCACCACGCTCTGCAGAGCAGTGCCCTCCTGCTGGGGTCCTGGGGCTTCTCCAGCTGGCATCTGTGCTGGCCCTGGCTGGTGAGTGGTATGAGGCCCCATTCAGCTGCCCAGGGAAAAGCTGGAAATAGCGTCTGCACGCTGGTGGGTTCTGCAGAGAGCATAGGCAGCCGCACTGCGGCCCTTCCTGGACACCCCGTTTGTTCTGTTTCCAGCTGACCCTCACCATCCTGCGGCAGACTGGGGGCCTGGGCATCAGCATTGCGGGCGGCAAGGGCTCCACACCCTATAAGGGGGACGACGAGGTGAGCACTGCCCAGGAGGGCCTTTGCACTGCCACCGGCCCATCCCCACCGTAGTTCACACCAGCGGCACACAGGCCCCTTGCCCTGAGAACACTCACACACTCCACGGACACGGGCTGGGCCCAAGGCACCAACTGTCATGGGATCCCAGAGTCCAAGGGCAACCTGAAGGTGCCTGGGTCTGTCCTCCCTTCGCAGCCCCTCTTCTCTCACCAGGTGCCTGTGTACCAGGCTTGGGGCCACGAGCCCTTTCTCAGGGTTGACCTACTCCCCCCTGGCACTCAGGATCCCACAGTGGCTGGAGCGCAGTCCTCCTGCTGGCCAGGGCTAGGGGCTGCTGGGAGTGGGTCTTCCCCTCCTGGGTCTTCTGCAGGAGGGGCAGGACCACGGGCCCCTCTCCCTGGCTCCTGCCAAGCTCATGTCTGTGCCCTAGGGCATATTCATCTCTCGGGTGTCCGAGGAAGGCCCTGCGGCCCGGGCTGGAGTCCGCGTGGGTGACAAGCTCTTGGAGGTGAGTCGGGAACCTCTCAGCCCCGAGTGGCAGCTGTGCCCTCTGGAGGTACACAGTTTCTGGTATTAGTGTGCTTGGCTGTCTTCTCCCAGCCTCCCCAAGAGTTCCAAGCACAGGACACCAAGACTTCTGGGTGAAGCCACAGAACCTGTAAACCCCAGGAGAGAGCCACCTGGGTAGGAGCCACCTGGGCCCTCCATTGTCACCCTGGCTCCCATCTAGTGCCCTGGTTGCTCATCTTTGTTCTTTGGGTACAGGTGTGTTTTTCTACCAGTGGGTAGGGCAGCAGCTGCACTGGGCACAGTGGCCTTCACAGGAGGGGCCGCTCCTGGGCTGACCGAGAGGGGTCAGGCTGCTGGCAGGACTGGTGGGGTTTGGACCCCGTATGGGAGCCCTGGAGCCCCCGCCTGGGCACCTGGCTGTCCAGCCTGGGCATGGGCATCAGGGGGCTCTAGAGAGTTGTGCGCCCTTCTTGTAGGGACACACTGAGGACAGGCGAGGGCCCTGGAGCCCAGCCAGGAGGCGTCTGCCCAGGGCTCAGATGCTGCATCTGCTGCTCAGCTCTTCTCCTAACCTTTGCATGGGAACTCCTGTTGCTGGGTGTTGGGGTGGGGTGCGGGTCGGTAACCTAGCGATCTCAGGTGTATGTGGGACTGCTCAGATGGGCAGGAGGTATCCAGGAGCAGGGCCATGTGTGTCCTGGCCGTGGGGGCATCTGCCTGCCTACCGTGGCCAATCTGTGTCCTGGCCCTTGGGCTGCCCACACGGGGTTTCTGAGGACCTGGCAGGGCAGGGGTCAGTGGTGCCCACGAGGAACCTTGTGGGTGAAGGTCTAGGGTGTCAGAGCCTGGGGCCTTTCCCCTTGCCCTGTGCTTCAGTCTCCCCATCCTGAAGGGAGCGTCTGCAGCCCCCAGCGTGTGGCTGTAGGTGGCTGCACTGGGTCCTGACATGCACGTGGCCTCTGGCCCGCAGGTGAATGGCGTGGCTCTGCAGGGCGCCGAGCACCATGAGGCCGTGGAGGCGCTCAGGGGGGCAGGCACTGCCGTGCAGATGCGAGTGTGGCGGGAGCGCATGGTGGAGCCTGAGAACGCGGTCACCATCACACCTCTGCGACCTGAGGACGACTACAGCCCCCGGGAGCGGCGGGGAGGGGGGCTGCGCCTGCCCCTGCTCCCAGCTGAGAGCCCTGGGCCCCTCCGTCAGCGCCACGTGGCCTGCCTGGCACGCAGTGAGAGGGGGCTGGGCTTCAGCATTGCTGGCGGGAAAGGCTCCACGCCATACCGGGCTGGTGATGCGGTGAGACCAGGGCTCAGGGCCAGGGAGGGCTGCTCCAGAGCTGGCAGCCGCACCCCAGCCTCACCAGCAGCCCTTCCTCCTCCACGCTCCCCTGCAGGGCATCTTCATCTCCCGCATTGCCGAGGGCGGTGCTGCTCACCGTGCGGGTACACTGCAGGTTGGCGACCGTGTCCTCTCTGTGAGTGGGGATAGGGCCCCACCCTGCCCACCCATGCCCCCTGCCCCGCCCTGCGCCCTCTGTCCCATCCTACCCTTGGGCCTCCTTGATTCGGGCATGCTCCCACAGATTAATGGAGTGGACGTGACTGAGGCCAGGCATGACCACGCCGTCTCCCTGCTGACTGCTGCCTCCCCCACCATCGCCTTGCTGTTGGAGCGGGAGGCTGGGGGCCCTCTTCCTCCCAGTCCTCCGCCACATTCCTCCTCACTCCCCACCGCTGCTGTTGCCATCACCAGCACCACCACCACCAGCATAACCACTGCCACCCCCGGGGAGCCTGGGTTGCCAAGCCTGGCCCCCAGCCTGCTGGCCGCCACCTTGGAAGGGCCATACCCAGTGGAGGTGAGACACAAGCCCCCACCCAGGCACCCACCCAGCTTCAGCCGTGGGCACTGGCCCTCCCAGGACCTGCCCTCTTGCGGCCCTGCAGTCTTCTCTGGGTGGGAAGCCGGCCTGCTCGCCTTTTCCCCTGCAGCCCCTCGAGGCGGGGGCTCTGCCCCACAGCCAGATTCCTCAGTGTGGTCCCCTTGACACAGTCTCCCGGCCAGCCACATGGCCACAGTCAGCAAAGATGTTGTCCTCATGCTGTGTGCCTGCCTGGGCAGCAGAACACTGGTGGCGCAGAAACCCTCGTGGGCACATCAGGGCAGCCCCCGCCCACCGTCCCCACGGACCAGGATGGACTCTTGGGAGCCCTCCCACACCCTTTCCCTGTCCTGACCGAGGCCTGTCCTTGTCCCGCCCCGTATCCCCAGGAGATCCGTCTGCCAAGAGCTGGGGGCCCTCTGGGGCTTAGCATTGTCGGAGGCTCCGACCATTCCAGCCACCCATTTGGTGTCCAGGAGCCTGGTGTATTCATCTCCAAGGTAGGGCAGCCCATCCGGGCGGTTCTGTGAGAGGCGTACCCATCCCAGGTACCAGCGCAGGTCAGCGTGGCCTCAGCCACCAGCTGCCACCCTTCTCCCTGACAGGTGCTCCCGCGGGGCCTGGCCGCTCGCAGCGGCCTAAGGGTTGGGGACCGCATCCTGGCAGTGAACGGGCAAGACATGCGGGACGCCACGCACCAAGAAGCAGTCAGCGCCCTGCTCCGGCCCTGCCTGGAGCTGTCGCTGCTGGTGCGGAGGGACCCGGCGCCCCCGGGCCTACGGGAGCTGTGCATCCAGAAGGCACCTGGGGAGAGGCTGGGCATCAGCATCCGCGGGGGTGCCAGGGGCCACGCTGGCAACCCCTGCGACCCCACAGACGAGGGCATCTTCATCTCCAAGGTGAGCCACCCCACCCCAGCCCGCCCTGGGTCCCACCCCGCAACAGGTCTCTCCCATTCCACATCTCCCCACAGGTGAGCCCCACAGGGGCGGCTGGGCGTGACGGTCGGCTGCGTGTGGGTTTGCGGCTGCTGGAGGTGAACCAGCAGAGCCTGCTGGGCCTGACGCACGGGGAGGCGGTGCAGCTGCTGCGTGGTGTGGGCGACACGCTCACCGTGCTGGTCTGCGACGGCTTCGATGCCGGCTCCTCGGCAGCCCTGGAGGTTAGCCATCCCGCCCTGGGAACCAGGCCTCCCTCTGGCCCAGCTCAAGGTGGTGTGAACCGCTGACACCTCTTGGGGCGGGCAATGGGTCCTCTGTGCCCCTGGGTCTGGGAGGTGCTCTGCGGCTCTGCATCAGCCATGAGGGGTAGGGAGCTGGAGGTAGGGCCCTCCCTTCCTTTCTGCTGAGCTCTGGCTAATCAAGCTGTCCGGAGGCCCAGTCCAAGTAGGATGAGGCATGTGAACGGATAGGGGGAGGGGCATGAGTTTGGGGCACACTATGTGGTCTGGTCCTAAAAGCAGCTGAGCCACCGGTGACTCCTGCAGAGTCCCACCAGGCTGCTAAGGGATGTCTCCGAGCCCTGCCCAGAGCCCACCAGCCAGGCAGACTCCTCGGGAGTCTGAGGGTTCCCGCTCCTGTGTCCAGTGGCACCTTTCTCCTCTCAGCCCGTCCTTGGGCCATGCCTGACTCCAGCGAGCCCCTCTGGTGACCCTTCAACAGAGAGCTCCCTCCCCAAGATCTCCTGCCCAACGGCTGGTCCGTCACTCCCTGGACTCCAGAGCAGAAGCCCAGACTGGGAGTTGGGATGTGAGGTGGGGCCCCAGGAGTCCTCCCTAGCAGCACGGCCTGAATCCTGGAAAAGCCTGGCCTCTGTCAGGGGGCTCCCATCTCCCTCCCGTCGTCTTCCCCGTGCCATCCCAGGGGGTCTGCAGCAGGCCTCAGCAGCTTCCAAGGGCTCTTCACCGGTGCCAGGGTGTGCAGGCTGGCTTCCCACTGGAGTGGGCTGCAGGGCCGCAAGAGGGTGGGTCCTGGGAGGGCCGGCACCCATAGCTGAAGCTGGGTGGATGCCTGGGCGGGGGCATGTGTCTTCACCTGGAGGGGCCACCTGCTCCTCCCAAAGGGTATCCCTGCTGGTCACACAGGTCCACAGGGGGCAGGTGACTGTCACCTCTCCCCACCAGCACACATGGTTTCCTCTCCGTAACAGCCTCTGGGATGGGGCGGCCCCTCACGTGGTTCTGTCTTGCAAGGGATGTCTGGGATGGTGGCTTTAGGCTGACAGCCACGGAGTGTGTCCTGACCCACAGCCAGCGTGGGGGCCCCTGGTAGGAAGTGCATTCGTAGTTTTCGCTCCACAGCTGGACGTTGGGCTTGGGGCGGGCTTGGGGCGAGTTTGGGACGAGCTTGGGGCTGGCCCCGGACCGGCCCTCACCCACCTCCCCTCCTGTCCTTGAGGGAGTCCTGGTGGTTTCCGGGGAAGGATTTATCTGAGGACTCAAGCCCTGAACCATCTGGTTCTCAGAAAGGGCCTTGCCTTGTATTTACTTATTTTAAGTAGATGTCTAAACATGTTTTATTTGATACATTTACTCATGAAGTTTTTGTTAGAGAAAGAGAGAGCACGCGCTCCCTTGGGGAAGAGTGAGGTATGCAGAAGGCAGGGCTAGCGCTGTGTCTGTAGCCGGCATGCGTCCACGTGCGGCGCTGCTGTCGCCACCGGTTTCCTTGCATCTGGCCGGGTCCCCCAAGAGCCTGCCGTGACACACCGGAGGGGCAGGGGTCTCAGATCTCACACTCTGGCCCGCGACGGACGGAGCCACCACACCCTCCCTGGTGTTGGGGGCAGATACTGTTTCTGCTGTGTTGGGCAGGCCAGGGGCCCCGAGCAGTGGGGCTGAGAGCTGCGTCCAGCTCCCCTTCCCCATCACGGCTGCCTCTTTCCTGCGTCCGTCCGTCTTCCCGGGCGCTCGTCGTCCGCCCCAGCACTGCCCTTGCCCTCTGTTGTTGCCCTGGCTCCCGTCCAGCGCCCTGGTTACTCATCTTGGTTCTGTGGGTACAGATGTGTTTTTTTCCAGCTCTTGCTTATGTTTTTCTTTAAAAAATGGGATCTTTTGAGTTACAAAAATCTCAATTTTTAAATTAAGTCTTACGACTCCTTTATGACTTCCGGATTCTGGTTTTTTCCTTGAGAAGATCTTCCCTACTGCAAGATTACAAAAACATTGTCCCGTTTTCTTCTAGTATTTCTGGAAGTTTAAACAACATACAGCTCCGTGGTTCACCTGGAATTGCTTTGGCGAGGTCTCGCTTGTCACCTAGGCTGGAGTGTGGTGGCACAATCACAGCTCACTGCAGCTTCCGCCTCCCGTGCTCAAGCCATGTCCCCACGCCCAGCCCTGGAATTGCTTTGCAAGTAACTGGATGCGTAGCTGTCCCCGCAGTATCGATTGAATAGTCTGTCGCTTCCCCAGTGGTTTGGGGGAAATGTGGCCTCATTGTGTTCAGTTCCTGTGGGCTCCAAGCTCTGTTTCTGGACGTGGTCCCAGGGAGTTGTGAGCTGCTTCTGGGCCACGCGTTTAAATGCCTCACTTTGTAGCAGGTCTCATACCTAATCCTCATCGGCAAAGTCACCGATTCCTTTTTCTTGTCTTGAAAAGTTTCTATGGTCATGTGTTTTCTCTTACAAATGAACCTGCCGCGTTCCGTGCAGAAACCGACTGGAATTCTAGGATTTCACATACATGTATGTATATACACATTTTGAGAAAGGGTCTCACTCTGTCACCCAGGCTGGAGTAGTGGCGCAGTCGCTGCTCACTGCAGGCTCAACCTGCCGTGCTCAAGCGATCCTCCCTCCTCAGCTTCCCAAGTAGCTGGGACTACAGCCGCACCACCACACCTGGCTCATTGTTTTCTGTAGAGATGGGCTTTTGCCATGTTACCTAGGCTGGTCTTGAACTCCTGGGCTCAAGTGACCTGCCTACCTGACCCCCCGAAGTGCTGGGGTTCCAGGGATGAGCCCTGCGCCCAGCCTTGGGGTTATCTTTATGTTGAGTTTTTCTCCAGGGTGTCCCCAGGTGGCTCTTGCTTTCCTGGTAATTCTCATCAATCCTCACCTGGATTTATAAGTCTGCTTCACCTCTTGGCAGAAGCCCGGTCACCCTTCCCACCTTGGGCCTCTCCTGTTTCCCCTCCTGCAGAGCCCCTGGTCCTGTGGAGGTGGGGGCTTGCTCTAAGGGACTTTCATCTTAGAGTGTGACATTTGCTGTAGACTCTTACAACGTTTTTTAAATTGATTGGGGGGGTGCTATTTCTATTTATAACCTGTAAGAATTGTTATCTGAAGTGGGTGTTGAGTTTTCTGAAGTCCTCTTATCTGCTAAGTAGGGTTGGTTTGGCCCATGGAGGTTTCATCAGCAGGCTTGGGGCTTGAGAGAGAGGAGCGGGTTTCACACATCAGGAGTCCACACCATGTCTAGCTTCTTGGCTTCCCACAAAAAGCTCGGCAGCCGTGGCGCGGCCAGGCCTGTGCTCCCACGGGACCTTCTGACTCCAGAGCATGGGCATGGGGGGCTTCAATTGGTGACCCTTCCCCATTTTTCTTAGGCCACTGGACTCATCTGTGTGTGTCCGCCTGGCCCTGCGGGCATCGGTTTGCCCGTTGAGTTCCGTAACTTTCTTCTCACTATGCAAGCCCCTCTTAGCATTGGCTCAGGAGTGCCTGCACGTCCCCAGCACTCTGGAGCAGTGGCCCATGTTTGTTTGTCAGAGCTTAAGTCTCCTGCATTCTAGTACTGTGCATTTTTGGGGGTCATGCATAGTTCATCTAAGCCTGGCCCTCACTTGCTGTCGGGCCTTGGGTGGGCGCTTGACTTTACTCCTCAGTCTCCTCGTCTGTACAATGGGTCACCCACGGTGCCTGCTTCTCGGGGTCGAGAGGATTGATTCAGTAAAGACCTGCCTTGCCATGGTCGGTGCCAAGACCCCTGCGCAAACCTCGGTGGCTGTGCGCTGTCTGAGAGGACTTGCCCACTACCCCGCGTGTTCGGCATGAGGATGCAAGTCCTCTCCCACTGGGCCCCTCCTTTGCAGTCACCTCCCTCTCGGCCCTGCTGTCCGTGTCCTCTTCCTCCTGGTCATGCTGACCAGGGTCCTGTGTGTTGATGGCCTTTTCAGAGCCAGCTTCTGAATACTGATCAGGACCACCTCTCCCTTGTCGTCATCACCATTACAAATAAAACTTCAGAAGAGACTGCCCTTTCTGTTGGCATTTCCTTGATTTCCGCTCTCAGGAAGAATCCTTCAGTCTTTCCCACTGCATCTCCGGCTTTTACCGTTTCTGCAGATCTGTCTATAAAGAAGAGATCACTAGCTCTGTTTCTGTCCTGATGTGAGCTCCTGCAGGAAAGACCTAGGAAGATCAAATGCTTGGTTCTTCCCTTTGTCAGTTTTTAGAATAACAGGCTGGGGCCCTGGAATCTTCCAAAGGTGGTTCCTGAGGTGTCTTTCTGTTTTTAGGGTTTTCGTGAACTCATGAGTCTTTGTTTTCCTGATGGGTTTCAACATAGTGTTCCCTTGATGTCCCTTGATCAGGCAACGAGGCCCTGCATCCCTGTGGCATGACCCTGTCATTCCTCAGCTGCTTTGACAAGGCATTCTTTGTATCGCCTGTCCCAGCCCTGGATTCCACCATTTTTGTGTGGGACCTCGCCCCTCTTGGCGGGAGCTGGGTGTAGAGCTCCTAGCCGTGGGCCGGGTGTGCTCAGGACTCAGGCACTGCCTGTGGCCTCTGCAGCAGATGGAGACTGAGAGGTGGATGTTTTTAGAAAGAGAAAAAATCATGAGTTTGTACTGTTATATTTAACTCATTTAAGATTATAGGGTTTTTACTAACTTTTGTGATTTTCTACTTTTTCTCATGAAATCTTTCCTTAATTTCAGAATTAGCTGAGTGTGGTGGCGTGTGCCTGTAGTCCCAGCTACTCAGGAGGCTGAAACAGGAGGATCACTTGAACCCAGGAATTTGAGTCCAGACTGGGCAAGACAGACTCTTAAAAGCAGCAACACCAGTGGTACGACTGAGAGCAGGAGCGTGGAGAGGGGCTGAGTTCCTGGCGGCTGCTTCCTGACAGTTCACCCTGCTGGGACGTGCAGTCCGCATCCTGTGTTCTCAGCCACTTGAGATCATTCTGTGGTTTTGCTACCAACTTGATACACAGTTGGGCTGATTCCTTTCAGCTTTTAGGGTGACTTTTTTTAAATCTTTTTTTTTTTTTTTTTTTTTTTTGAGACGGAGTCTCGCTCTGTCGCCCAGGCTGGAGTGCAGTGGCCGGATCTCAGCTCACTGCAAGCTCCGCCTCCCGGGTTTAGCCATTCTCCTGCCTCAGCCTCCTGAGTAGCTGGGACTACAGGCACCCGCCACCTCGCCTGGCTAGCTTTTGTATTTTTTAGTTGAGACGGGGTTTCACCATGTTAGCCAAGATGGTCTCGATCTCCTGACCTCGTGATCCTCCCGTCTCGGCCTCCCAAAGTGCTGGGATTACAGGCTTGAGCCACCGCGTCCGGCCCTTTTTTTTTTTTTTTTTTTTGAGATGGAGTCTCACTCTGTTGCCCAGGCTGGAGTACAGTGGCATGATCTCGGCTCATTGCAACCTCCACCTCCCGAGTTCAAGCAATTCTCCTGCCTCAGCCTCCCAAGTAGCTGGGATTACAGGCGTCTGCCACCACATAAAATCTGTTTCTTAATTGTGTAAATATTCACATGGTTCCAAAGCTTAAATTATATAGAGTCACTTCAGAAGACCAGCCTCCATCTCTGTTCCGAGGCCACCATCTTTATTCATTTTGGTTTATTCTGCCATTTCTTTCTGAAAAATGTAAGCACATACATAAATGAATTTTAAACTTAGAGAAAAGTTGCAAAAACAGGACAAAGAACCTGTGACACTCAGCCCTATTCATGACTCAGCCACCGCGCGGGATGCGCTCCGTTGCGGGAGCCTCCCTCTAGTCTCCTTCGGGTGGAGTGTGCCTGTCTCTGCTGATTCCTCTGACCTTGACGCTTCTGGTGGGCATAGGCTCTCCCTGCTTCCGGCGGTGATTGCCCCCACGCTGGGTCTGATGCCCTCACAGGCTTCAGCGTGTGCATCTTGGCCGGGATTATCACAGAGCTACCATGTGTCTCTGTGCCTCCCACCAGGGCTCACTCTAATGCTCTGAACCACGAGGTCAGCCAGGTTTCCCCCTGCAGTTACTCCTGCCCCTTGAAATCAGCAAGTGTGGGAGGTACTTTCAGAGCACATAACAGGCTGTTTCTCATCCAGTTTCACCTGTGAGCCTCAGCACCTTGATGGTTCTGAGCAGGCCCCGAGGTGGTTGGCAACAGTCCTAACCCACCACTCCCACACTCATCAGGCAGCTTCCTGCCACCGAGCTTTCCCTTTCTCCCAGTTTACGTGTGTCTGCTTACCTGTTCACGTGAGCTCACGAGGGAGCCCATTTCATTAACAAGTGAGCTTCCATTTTATTTCATGGGCAACAGCTGTTTACCATCATAATTTATTTTGATGCTTAAATTGTCCCAGACTTGGCCCACAGAAGGGGCTTGAGGACCTGAGTCATTCTGATACAACCTCCCCCCTCAGCACCTCCTCACCTTCTGCCTCCAGCCTCCAGGATGTGCTGGGCTTCTCTCCTTGCCCTGCCCAGCCCTAGAGTCGGCCATTTCTCTCAGGAGCGCTGGATCCTTTTAGTGGAGAGTGACACTTAGAAGCTGCGCTCTGGCCCTGGACCTAGCGTTCTTGGGGCATCGTCTCAGGACCTCCCGGGGGCCAGAACTAGGGGGTAAGGGGGCATGCCAGGCATTCCCGAGGTTACTCCTGGAATGATAGAAGAGGATGAGCTCACCCGTGGCTGTCAGAGTCAGCACCCTGGTCTGCCTTTTCTGTGTTTGAGCAGCTCTCTCTGACAAGAGAGGCCGGGCTGCCTGTGACCTTGCTTCCCACTCTGCCAGCCCCCCTGCCTCTCTTGGACCTGTCCAGTGGCTTTTTGACTTAAGTTATTTCAGAAACTGAGAAGACAGGCACCTTGTTTGTTGTTTGTCCTCCTAGTTCTGTGAGAGCCTGAAAGACATAGTTAAGTCTCCCTGTATAACTGTGCTTTTATGACGCTCTCGTGTTTCTACTAGTCTGCTTTCTGTGTTTAGCTGCTTCCTTGTTGAGCGCTTACAGTTGATGATGATTGTATCATCATTGTAAATAGCATCTTCTGTGGTGACAGCATCCCTCTGCCTGCTTGACAGCTGTGACCTCACATCCTGTCTCCCCTGGCCTGAGCAACCCCTCTCTGTGCCTCCCGTGTGTTTGCCTGCCCTCTCTTTGCCTTCCCCTTACCATTTCAGTTGTGTTTTTAACCAGCAACAGCATAGGGCTGGGTTTGTCCTTCAGGCCACATGGAGAGCGCCTTGATTTCGCAGGGACCCCGTCCACGATGAGCGTGATAAACAAGGCCTGTCTCCACCGTGCTGCCCCTTCTGGCTGCTGGTGGCGGTGGGGGCCTGAGGCAGTCCCATTGCACCCCTTGGGCTTGGAAGTGAGCTCTTCCCATGGTTCCGTCTGCCCGTGTTAACCCCGGCTCAGGATCCAAGTACATCTTGTGTCCAGCCAGAAGCCCCTGCCCGTCCTGGTCCTGTCTCCTTGGCCCTCCTCTGCCCTGCCTGAGCTCCCTGGGCGCCTTTCCTTTCTAGACGCCCCCTCCACCCTGCCAGTCACTGGCTTGGGATAGGTCATTGAGCTCTGTAGAGTGCAGAGCTGGCCAGGCCTCCTGCATGGTGTCCTTTGTTTCAGAATCCCTGCCCAGCACTCACGCTGGGGTCTGGAGCCAGCCTTTCCACCTGAGGGGGCCACTCTGTGCCATCAGTTCCAGCATCCACTACTCACGCCCCTCCTTCCCCCATCTTGGTGGCTGTCAGTTCTTCCTGGGGGTGACTTTACATAGTCAGCAAAGTGGCAGGCATCTTTGCTGTGAAGAGATTGCTCTTCACAATCTCGCCTAGTGCAGACATGACCACGTCCACAGCAGCCCTGTGAGCTGTGATGGGGACGGACCGGGGACAGTACTGCAGCATCCTGCGGGGGTGGGTCCAGTAGAATGCCCTCCAAGGCTATCCCGGCCATGCGGTCAGCCCTGCTGAGGGATGCAGCTCCTGTGTTCACTGTTGCTGGCTATTCTGGGCTGGGGCCCCATCCTGCCCCAGAGGTGGGACCTGGGCTGCAGTCCTCACTTCTCAGCCCACACTCCTCTTCTCAGATGTCCCCAGGTGTCATTGCCAACCCCTTTGCGGCGGGCATCAGCCACCGGAACAGCCTGGAGAGCATCTCTTCCATCGACCGGGAGCTGAGTCCCGAGGGCCCAGGCAAGGTCAGAGGTGCCTGCAGCTGGCAGCCCCGGGGCCAGGGAGCCCGAGGCCGGTGGTGCCTGACGGGTCTGCTCTGCTCACAGGAGAAGGAGCCGCCTGGACAGACCCTGCACTGGGGGCCCGAGGCCACAGAAGCCACGGTGAGTGTGGTTGCCCCGCCCCCTCCCATCAGGGCACTGGAGCGGGGTGCACATTGCCTGTGGGGTGCTGGGTAGTAACCCCCAGGACACCCTCTCATGCCCTGTGCTGGCCGGGTGCTGCCATGGAGCTTCTCCTGCTAGTGCTGTGTCCACTCTGCCCCCAGGGTCGGGGTCTGCAGCCCCTGAAGCTGGACTACCGTGCCCTGGCTGCCGTGCCCAGCGCTGGTGGCGTGCAGAGGGTCAGTGCCCAGTGTGCAGTGCCCCCCACCTCCGTCCTGTTGTCCTGTTCATCGGCCACCGCAGGACAAACGCCAGGGCCGTTGGGGAGGGAAGCTTTGGGCGGGGGCTGGGATGGGAGGAGGCCACGTCTGACCTGCAGGCTACCCCAGCCTGTCACGTGCTTGTCACCCTCATTCTTGACCCAAGCTATGTTGGTGCTGCCCCCACCCCCACGCTGAGCTGCAGATGGGTGACATAGGCCGAGGACCTTCTTGTACTCACCGAGCAGGCCGGGGTGGCAGTGTGAGAGCTTCACCTGCTGGCTGGAGGCGGAGGCTCCTGGGGGATTGGGCAGGCACACGGCACCAAGGGGAGGACGGGCTGGAGCAGCTGGAGGGGCAGGTGCTGGGGACAGGCAGGAGGATATGCAGGCCCTTCCCTCCCCTTAAAGATACAAATAACCCTCCCAGAGGGTGTGCCCCGCCAGCCCACCGAATGTGAGTGACTGAGGGATGGGCTCCGCCAGACCCTTGCCCAAGCGGTGGAGTGGTAGTGAGGGGCCAGGCAGGGTCTGGGGCTGAGGCAGGCCATTCAGGGGCTCTTGGGACCCGACCCTGCCTCCTCTGGCCATGGACTACGCTGAGAGGGAGGCTCCCAGGAGGCCCTTCATCCTCATGAACAACAGCACAGCCATGGGGGCAGCGGTCAGGGTGCCACTTGAACCCTGAGGGCCTCACACCACAAGTAGGGGCTCCCCACCGGCATCTCTGTCCCCGGCCCCTCCCCTGAGCCCTCCCTGCTCTCTCCTCCGGCTGTCCTGTCCGCTCCCATCTCTCCTGCAAAGCTCCAGCCAGCACACTGCCGTGGAGACAGCAGCTGCCCAGCCCAGGCCCCCGCATCCTGTGGGGACGGGGACGAGCCCCTCCTTGCTGACCGAGTGTCTGGGGCGTCGCCTGGGCTATAGTCAGGTTGGGGAACTGAAGGGCTTCTGTGCCTTCCAGGCAAGCTCCAGGCCCCCCAGTCCCTCCTGCTGCGGGGCCACAGCCCTGCCCAGCCTCACCCCACCCACTGCCTACTTCTCCAGGTACCGTCTGGAGCAGCTGGAGCGAAGATGGCCGAAGCCCCCTGCTCCCCTAGTGGCCAGCAGGTGAGTGTCCCAGGTTAACGGGCGCACCCCATGGCGGGTGGAGGGCAGAGCAGATGGCTGCTGTGCACAGGGCCCCTCTTCCAGGGATGGGGTCAGGGGCTGGCGTGGGGTGCCATTGACTCTGGTCTTCCCTCTGCTACCATGGGGCCTCCTGTGTGAGGACAGCCAGGGACACTTTCCTGGCCAGAGCTGCCTGGCGATGGGGTGGGGGGCCTGAGCGTGCTGTTCTTGGAGGGGCTTAAGCTCCTGAGACCCCGGTCAGTGTCTTGGGCCCAACGCCTCCCAGGGCCCACCTGCCGCACCCCTTCCTGCCTTTTGTCTGGGAGTCCTTGCCCCCCCCACTATTGGCACCTCCCCCAACACACTGCCACGTGAGGGTGGAGGTGGCAGCACCCATGAGACCCAGCTCAGCCCCTCACAGGCAAGATGTCAGCCCCACCCAGGTCTCCTCTCTCTTCTCCTCCTCTCCTGCGTCCCCCCCGCCCATCCCTGTGCCTCCCCCCCTCTGCCACTGCCCTCTCTCTCTCCCCTTCCCGCTGCTCTCCCCTCTTCTCCCCCCTCCCCGTCTCCCTCCCCTTGTCTACCCCCATTCCTTGCCTTGTATCCCTGATCCTGCTCTCCTCTTCCCCCGCCACTGCCACCTGCCTTTTTTAGACAAAACCAGGGGTGATCCAGCCATTGGCTCAGGCGTGGCCAAGGGGCTCCCCAGCCCTCAGGGGCAGAGGTTGTCCCCACTCCGTGAGTGCTCTGTCCCATGGGTGGGGGTGGCAGAGCCTCCTTCCCTAGCAGGATGGTGGGTGGGGATCAAAGGCAGGCAGTGGGGACAGCCAGTGGCGAGTTGAGCACAGCTGCAGCCGTGACAGCTGCCCCAGCGTAGCTCACAGGAGCCCCACCCCCCAGCCGCCTTCCCCGCCTTCCCCGGATGAGCTGCCCGCCAATGTGAAGCAGGCCTACAGGGCCTTCGCGGCCGTGCCCACTTCTCACCCTCCTGAGGACGCCCTCGCCCAGGTGTGTGGGAGCAGCACCCCTCCCTGCTGCGCATGGTTGGGGTGGGTGCTCAGGGGCCCCAGTGTCCCGGAGGAATGCCAGCCAAACCTCAAGGTGCGCTCCCCCCAGCCCCCCACGCCTGGACCTGCAGCCTCCCCGGAGCAACTGTCCTTCCGGGAGCGGCAGAAGTACTTTGAGCTGGAGGTGCGCGTGCCCCAAGCTGAGGGCCCTCCTAAGCGTGTGTCCCTGGTGGGTGCTGACGACCTGCGGAAGATGCAGGAGGAGGAAGGTGAGGGGCACGGAAGTGGGGTGGGGGCCGGGTCGAGGCTGGCCCGGCCTGACCCACCCTGCCCTCTGGCAGCCAGAAAACTACAGCAGAAGAGAGCGCAGATGCTGCGGGACGTGGCAGAGGCTGGGGCCGAAGCGGGGCTCGCCCTGGACGGGGAGGCGCTGGGCGAGGAGGAACAGGAGGATGAGGAGCCACCTTGGGCCGGCCTGAGCCCCTCCTCAAGGTGAGCAGCCGCCCACCAGATGCCCCCGACTCACCCCACGTGCCCCCCACACACACACAGCACGTTCTATCCCTTCCCCAGGCAGAGCCCCGCGTCCCCCCCACCCCTGGTAAGTGGTGCCCCGGTGCGGACGGCCAAAGCTGAGCGGCGCCACCAAGAACGGCTTCGCGTGCAGAGTCCGGAGCCACCAGCACCCGAGCGTGCCCTGTCCCCTGCCGAACGCCGGGCCCTGGAGGCTGAGAAGCGTGCACTGTGGAGGGCAGCCAGGTAAGCCCCTGCCTGGGGTCCCCACCCCGCCCTGCGGCCTTTCCCTGCTCCTGCCCCGAGTCACCCCTGCCCACTGTTCTCTGCAGGATGAAGTCACTGGAACAGGACGCTCTCCGAGCACAGATGGTCCTCAGCAGGTCGCAGGAGGGCCGGGGCATGCGGGGGCCCCTGGAGCGACTGGCGGAGGCCCCTTCCCCTGCGCCCACCCCGTCGCCCACCCCTTTGGAAGGTCCGTGGGTAAGGGCAGGTGGGGGGGTCAGCCTGCTGCTTGGGCTGCTTCCAACACCTGCTTCTTGTCCCCCTAGACCTCGGCCCCCAGACCAGCACCTCCCCGGGACGCCTGGTGAGGAGCCGGTGGCTATGCCCTCCCTTCACCCCCAAGGCATGGGGGGGGTCTGGCCTGCCCCCACCCCCGTGGCCCTCACCCCCTCTTCCTCTCACTCTCTGCCTCTCCCCTCACGCTGTCCTTTCAAGCCCTTGTCTGGAAAGAAGTTTGACTACAGGGCCTTTGCAGCCCTGCCTTCTTCCAGACCTGTCTATGACATCCAGGTACCTGGCCTCCAGGCCTCTGCATGCCTGCCACCCCGTCCGTGCCTGCCACCGCCTCCATCCGCTCCCGCAGGGCCTCCCCGCGTTCTGCCGTGGCCCTGCTTCTCCATCCCCCTCCCCCCTTCAGCCGGGCTCTGTGGGCCTCAGGGCTGGGAGCCTACATGCGGGTGGTTTGGGGCAGGGCTGGCGCCGGCCTGATCAACACTCTCCCCGTCACAGTCACCGGACTTTGCTGAGGAGTTGAGGTCCCTGGAACCATCTCCCAGCCCTGGTGAGTTGGGGCCGGGCTGGGGTGAACTCCAGGAGCCCAGCTGCCCTCAGCTCACTGCCCGCCTGTCCCTGCCCACCAGGCCCGCAGGAGGAGGATGGAGAAGTGGCTCTGGTGCTTCTGGGCAGGCCCGCTCCTGGCGCCGTGGGCCCTGAAGATGTGGCGCTTTGCAGCAGCCGTCGCCCTGTAAGGCCTGGGCGCCGTGGCCTGGGCCCTGTGCCCTCCTAGAGGAGCAGGCGCCTCCCCCAGACTTGGGGTGGGGGCCCTGCCAGCTCCAGCACCACCCTTGCCCCAAGTCTTTTAACCTGGGTGTTAGCATTTTAAAGAGACCCCGCAGGAATTCTGGCCTCTGACTAACTGCCCCACCCCAGCCGAGACCTCGGCAAGACTGTAACTAGTGATGTTTGTACAACCAAAGACTCTATTTTGTGGTTTAAGGAGAATAAAGTTGACTACATTTTACCTCCCGTCTGCCTGTCCACCCCCCCGCCGCCCACTAGCACAGACCCTTCCTGCCCTCCGAGGCCAGGCTGAGTTCCGAGGGCTGCACCCTCCCCTCCCTCCCACGTCTCCCGTTGCGCCTCACTGCGCACAGGTTGGGCCGGGCGGACTGCCCATCCCCAGCAGGGCCTCCCCCAAGTGCCTGCAAACCTGTGTCTGCCAGCCGGGGCTCGGGACAGCCAGGGCCCTGGACTCTCACACACCGCCGCTGCCCCTCATGCACAAAGCACAGATGCCACACCGCGCCCTGGGGCACACGCTTTATTGGGGCTAGCACTAGAGGCCTGTGCCCGGCAGCTGCACACGCACCGGGAGCAGCACCTGCAGCTGCTCGGCTGGCGGCCACTGGACCTTGGTGACGAAAAAGAGGCGGAAGTGCTCCAGGCGCTGCTCCTGGAACTGCGTGGGGCTACACTCTGGCCCATCCGTGGGCCGCAGCAGCGACAGGTACCTCTCCTGCTCCAGCAGGCCGCGGCTCAGCAGTGCCTGCGCCAGGCCAGGCTGCACCGCCTCCAGCTGCCGCTGCACGGCTGGGAACAGGTCTACCTCACGCAGGTCGAACACCAGCGGCTTCCCATACCTGCCCCATGAGGCTGGTGAGGCCGGGGTGGGGCTGGGGGGTGGGGGGGGGGTGTACCTGACCCTGCCCGCCTCACCGCAGAGCCCCCAGGAGAGCCAGCCGCAGCCTCTCCGGCTTCAGGTGCTCCGGGTTCACTGTGTCCACATAGTTGGTGTCCTGGTAGCGCAGGAAGGTGGCTGCCTGGCCCGAAGGGTCAATGACAAGAGGCCACCTGGGGACACCCATCGAGTCACTGTTGTCTATCCAAACCCCAAATCGCCCACATCTGGCCCGGAGCACTGACCGGCCATCGGCGCGAATGCGGTTGCCCACATCTTTCATCAGCACGTCGTGCAGCTCGGTGACCTGGCACTTCAGCCCGGGCGCCTCCTCCTCCCCTGTAGGGGTAGCAGAGTGCAGCTGACAGGCAAGCCCAATGCTGGACCCCGCCCTGGGCCATATCTCCCAGCCCCCAGCCAGTGCCCCATGCCAGGCCCACCCTCCTGCGTCTGCTCCCGCAGCTCCAGCCTGGCCATAGCCAGCGCCGCCTCGGCCTTCTGGGCCTCCTGCCGCAGCCTGTCCACCTGGACCTCTGCGTCCTTGATGGCCTGGAGAAGGGGGCCACACTGACAGTCGCTCGCCCTGCCCCACGCTCTGGCTGGAGAGGGTACCTGCCTGAGCCTCCTCCCCACCCCACCTCGAGGAGGCCACTGTTGACTGGTGACTCCCCATGTTTAAGAGGGAAAAACTCCAGGCCTGGCAGGGGAGGAGGGCCTGGGCTGGTGTGGAACAAGGAGAGGGGGTGAGGGCGCAGGGGCACAGCAAGTCCACCATGGGCTCCCACCTGCAGCGTGAGCCTGGTCTTGTCCATGCACCTCCACTCACACTGCTCGTGCTCTGTGATCCTCTGGCTCAGCTCACAGTATGCCTGTTGCAACTGGGTGGGTGTATGGGCAGGCCCTGGCAAGGCTGGCCCTGGCAAGGCCAGCCAGTACCCTCCGACTAGGTCACTCCTGGCCCAGGGGCCTGAGGGCACCTCCCCTCCTAGCTCTTCCCCCAGCTTCCTGGCCCTCCCTTGGCTCCCCCTCCTCCCCACTCTGCTCTCCCTTTTCTGGCTCCTCCCTGAGGACACACTCACCTCCTTGTGACACTGCTGCTGCTCCCTGGCCAGCTGTTGGACCTTGAGGGTCATGCTAGGGAGCGGGAATGAGCTGGGGCAGAGGCTTCCGCCAGTGCCCCCACCAGCACCCCCTGCCCACGCTCCCTGCCAGCGCCCCCACCAGCACCCCCTGCCCGCACTCCCTGCCAGCGCCCCCACCAGCACCCCCTGCCCGCACTCCCTGCCCGTGCCACCAGCCCCCCCACCAGCACACCCTGCCCGCGCTTTCTGCCCACGCTCCCTGCCTGCGCTCCCTGCCAGCGCCCCTTGCCAGCACCCCCTGCCCACGCTCCCTGCCCGTGCTCCCTGCCAGCGCCCCTCGCCAGCACCCCTTGCCAGCACCTCCCACACCCCTCCTGCCTGCCACACCGCTTGGCCTCAGCCTCCTTGTGCCTCTGGGCCTCCTGGGCCCGGCGCTGCTGCTCTGCCTCCATGTTCTGGAGCATGGCCTCCGTGAGGCTCAGGTCCCACGAGTGCAGCACGCTCGCCACGGTGTCCAGCGAGGCCACCTAGTGACAGACGACATTTGTCGGACACTCGGTGCTTGTTCTGAGTCTTCTCAGCCTGGAGAGGAACGGTTGCTCTCCCATTTGGGAGAAAGGGTGCCATTGTGCAGAAAGGCCTCAGTGCTCACAGCTGGTGCATGGTGGGCCCCAAAGCATGAGCCACTGTGGTACTGCTGTCCCCAAAGCCCAGACCACCTGGAATTCTCCTGGGCTTCCTGACCAAGTCCAAGCAGGAACCTGCTTCTGTGGCTGGGTTTCCAAAGGCTTCCTTCCCCTTCACTCCCCCAGGACCTGGCCCAGGCTTCCTGCCTCTGCCAGACTCAAGTACACGCCTGAGGCCTCGGCTGCCACTGCTGCTTTCTGAGTAGGAGGCTGGCCCACAGGACATGCACCCTGGATCTCCCTCCTCTGTGGTCTCCCGTAGATCTCTGCCTGCAGGACACAACCCTTGGGACTGCCGCTGCCTCTCACCCTCCTGAGTCCCCATCACTCTAGGAGCAAGGAGTGGGTGCAGAGAGCCGAGCTCAAAGCCCAGCTGCCCTGGGTGAGTCCCTGACGTCCTGTGCCGGGGCCTCCTTGTCTGTGGAGCAGGGATGATGCGTGGAGGGGTCGCAGTGAGGAGGCAGGAAGAGCAGGAGCTCAGAGCAGGTCCACGTGCGCCTGGTGGCGGGCCAGTCCCAGCGTCACCCTTGACCAGGAAGCTGTGCACGGGTGTTTCCGTGTGTGAATGCCACTTGCCCCATCCTGCTCTGGGAAGGCAGGGTGACCAGGGCCTGCCGTCTAGTGTGGCCAGCTCCCTAATGGCTGGATGACAGCGGAAGGAGGCAAGGCAGTAGCTGAGAAGGGCCAGGTGGGGCAGGGAGACTCTTGTACTCGGAATCAGGCCTGGGAAACAGTTGGGGCCTGAGGAGCTGCTGGCTGGAGAGCAGAGGCCTGGGAGAAGGCGAGCAGGTGGCTGAAGGTGGGTGCCACAACCAAGAACAGACTGAGAGGGTGTGGCAGGCCTGGCAACGGGGCCAGGTGGAGGTGGACAGACACGGGCCACGGAGCAGGCAGAAGGCACTGCATTAGGGGTGTGCAGGTGAGCGGCCGGCGTTCCCATAGAGCAAGGGGTTCATGGCGTAGGAAGGATGAAGCCAGGATGAGGGGAAAGGGGTGGGGAAGGATGAGTTCCCTGTAGCTCTTCAGGGAGACTGGCCGCAGACAAGTGCAGCCAGGGAGACTGAATGTGGGCAGAACCAGGAAGAACTCACAGAAGTGTGGGAGGGAGGGGGACAGAGCAGACGAGAACGAGAGAAGCGGTGGCGCGGCGTGGCCTCGGGTAACCACCATCCTGGCCGAGCTGGTGCCGACTTAAGCATTTGTCTACAGATGCAGGGAGCAGAGATGGAGAGAAGGGGCAGTATAGGGGGCCTGCAGGTCTGCGGGGGGCCAGGGACATGCAGACAGGTGGTAAACTCACCTCCACGGCCACCTGATGGATCCACAGGCTGACAACAGCCTGAGGACCGGCCCTGTGCTATCTGCTTCCCAGTAGCTGGGACCAAAAGTTCAAAGCCCACCAGGGCCAAAATCAAAATTTTACACAGACGTTTGCTTTAAATAGAGCCCAAATATGCATATTTCTAGACATTTAGACCCTGCTTCTTTGCATACCCTGCAAAACTGAACCCGCATCTGCCAGTGGTGGGTGAGACAAACCCTGGGGCTACAAAAACCTTCAGGCTGGGCTGCCTTCTGGAACTCTCTGGTGCCCCGTCCTGCTTCTGAGCAGTTTCCTGTAGGTGCCAAGCTCTCTGTGAAAACCTGTCCAAGTGTGGCCAGAATAACGCTCACTGCGTGCTGCTGCCCTCTCCTGGTCCTGTCTTCCTCCATCAGCCCCCAAATCTCCAGCCTCTGTGCCTCGTTCCCCGGCAGCCAGAAGGGCTCCTTCCCTGTCCCCCAGGATCTTACACTGGCCAGTCTTCCTGTCTGGAAGCTCCTCAGACGTTCACAGCCCTCATTCCCTCCCCTCCAAGTTTTCCCTTGTACGTCACCTTCTCAGCAAAGCCCACCTTGGCCACCTTTCTTAAAATTCCAGCCCAGCCCTGCCCACTCAGGTAGCCTGGTATCTCCACTGTACTATGAGTTGTGACAGAAGGGACTTTGTTTTGTTCAAGGATGTGCCCTAAGTACCTAGAACAGTGCCCAGCTCAGGTCTTCTGTCAGTTGGTCCAGTGGCTGGGCTAATGAACGGATGAGTTAATTCATAGATTAGCGTACACCTGATTGTTTGGACAGATAAATGGCTAAATAAATAGATGACTATAGAGACGTATTCATTTATGGACATTCCTCTGCACATTCATTTATCAATGACTCTGTCTACATTTGTAAATATAAATTTGCAAATATAAACATGTGGGTGGGTGAGTGGAGGAATTTATGAATATGCACATTTAATCCTCACTTTGTGCTCCTAAGGACAGTAACCTCAGAGTAAGGTTGACTTCAGCCTAGCTTCAAATCCTCTTAATCCCTGAAGTTGGTGAAGTGACTCCAGACTTTTGGTACCCCCAATACATGGCAAAAGCTAAATCCTCAGTGAAAAAAGAGTGAAAAATACCTTTCTAGGCTTCAAATTATTCCTACCAATAAAACATATGACATGGCCAGGGAAGGTGACTCATGCCTGTAATCCCAGCACTTTGGGAGGCCGAGGCATGCAGATTGCTTGAGCCCAGAAGTTCAAGACCAGCCTGGGCAACATGGGAAAATCCAGTCTCTACAAACAAATAAAAAAAATTAGGCCAGGCGCGGTAGCTCACGCCTGGGATCCCAGCACTTTGGAAGGCCGAGGTGGGCAGATAGATCACAAGGTCAGGAATTTGAGACCAGCCTGGCCAACGTGGTGAAACCCTATCTCTACTAAAAATACAAAAATTAGCCAGGTGTGGTGGTGCGTGCCTATAAATCCCAGTTAATTGGGAGGCTGAGGCAGGAGAATTGCTTGAACCTGGGAGGCAGAGGTTGCAGTGAGCTGAGATCATGCCACTGCATTTCAGCCTAGGTGACAGAGCAAGACTCCGTGTCAGAGAAAAAAAAAAAATAGCTGGGCGTGGTGGCTCAAGCCTATAGTCTTAGCTACTTGGGAAGCTGGGGCAGGAGGATCACTTGAGCCCAGGGGGTCAAGGCTGCAGTTAACTGTGATCACACCACTGCACTCCAGCCTGGGTGACAGAGCGAGACCCTGTCTCAAAGAAAATAAAAAGTAAAAAATACTGGGTCTGGTAGCTCACGCCTATAATCTCAGCACTTTGGGAAGCTGAGATGGGCAGATCACTTGAGGTCAGGAGTTCAAGACCAGCCTAGCCAACATGGCAAAACCCCATCTCTACTGAAAATACAAAAATGAGCTAATGTGGTGCTGCACACTGGTAGTCCCAGCTACTCAGGAGGCTGAGGCATGAGAATTGCCTGAACCTGAGAGGCAGAGGTTGCAGTGAGCTGAGATCATGCTCCAGCCTGGGTGACAGAGGAAGACTCTGTCTCAAAAAAAAAAAAAAAAAAAAAAAAAAAGATACAATAAAAAGGCACAGGAAAATACAAGACAATATAAACAAAAATCTGCAGAAACTACAGATGATAGAAATAGCTCCATGAGGGATCAGGATATTAGAGTTAGCTACAGATTTTCAAACAGCTATATTTACTGTGCTCAAAGAGAGAGACTACATTGAGAATTTTAGCAGAGAGCTGGAACCAAATAAAATTTTAGACATGAAAATTAAAATAACCAAAATTAAGAACAAAGTGCATGGATTTAATAACTAGCTAGATGCAGCTGAAGAAAGAATTAGTAAACTGAAAGACATGTCACAAGAAAATATCCAGAATAAACTCAAACAAAAGGATGGAAAATATAGAAAAGGGTAAAAAACTGTGGTAGTTATTAGTGCTGATCATCAAACATGTCCATCCCTCCACCTTCTAGACATAGGATAGGATTAAACTTCCTGACCAATTTGTGGTTTCAGTGGAGCCAAATGACTAGATCTGACCAATGAGCTATAAGTAGAAGTGTTTGTGCTAGACCCTCCTCAGCTCTTTCCCTCTGGTATACTGACCAGCAATATTCAAGATGGTGGTTGCTGTGTCAGCCTGGGTCCCTGAAAGACTACAATTAGCAGAAGCCCCCTGTTAACCCTCAGTGGACATGTAGCATAAGTAAAAAATAAACTCATTTTGTTTTATGCCATTGAGATTTGGAGACTGCATGTTCCACAGCACATCTGTATTAGTCCATTCTCACATGGCCAAAAAAGAACTACCTGAGACTGGGTAATTTATAAAGAAAAGAGGTTTAATTGACTCATGGTTCTGCAGGCTGTCCAGGAAGTGTGGTTAGGGAGATCTCAGGAAACTTACATTCATGGCAGAAGGCCAACAGGAAGCAGGCACATTTTACATGACTAGAGAAGGAGGAAGAGAGAGCAGGGGGAGACGCTACACACTTCTAAACAACCAGATCTGAGTAGCTGGGACTACAGGCGCCCACCACCACACCTGGCTAATTTGTGTGTGTGTATATGTGTGTGTGTGTGTGTGTGTGTGTGTGTGTGTGTTTAGTAGAGACGGGGTTTCACAGCGTTAGCCAGGATGGTCTCAATCTCCTGACCTCGTGATCCACCCGCCTCGGCCTCCCAAAGTGCTGGGATTATAGGCGTGAGCCACCGTGCCCAGCCTAAAGCTATATTATTCAGGCACTCATTTAGGAATGAATGGATGAATCAGTAAGTGGATGACAAAATGAATGAATAAATGAGGGATGATTTAATGATGTAATAAAGAATACAATAGATAAAGAAAAGCAAGAGGCCGGGCACAGTGGTTCCCGTCTGTAATCCCAGCACTTTGGGAGGCCAAGGTGGGCAGATGACCTGAGGTCGGGAGTTCAAGACCAGCCTATCCAACATGAAGAAACCCTGTCTCTACTAAAAATACAAAATTAGCCAGGTGTGGTG